GTAAAAATTTTTTGGTTGTTTGTTTCCTCAGCGTAATTTCCCGGGGATTAATATACCGGGGGTGAAGATATTAAATTCCGGTTTAATTTTAAATTGGATTGGGGAAAAAAATTTCCCCTAATTTTCCTCTCTTTAAGACCTTTCCAAGTTTAAAGTTTGTTTTTTGGATTCTCTGAGGGGGCCATAAAAGTTTTATTGGGGGATTTCCAAGCGGGGTAGAAGGTTATCCTTCAGGCTAAAAGTTTCTCTTTTGTAGAAGGTTTTGTTAGATTCAATTTATTATACCCCTTTTCAAGAACTTAATATTTTGGGTGGGGCTTTAATAACCCTTAAGGGGTAATTCTCCAAAAATATAATTGAGGATTTACTACTACCATTATTGATGAATTGAACATGTTGGAAAGGCCAAGCGAAGATGAAGATATCTCATTAATGCGTTTAAAGGATTTCAATGATGATATTGTCAATCGTTTTAAAGCCCTGGAGTCAACTCCTTTACAAGATTTAAATTTAAAAAATTCAAAAGGTCATTTATCACCAAAAGAAAAGCAATTGGATACAGAGTTGGCAAACTTTTTAAGAAAATTCACTAAATTAAATAATTCGATTGACACTGATGATAATGTTAACTCGTCATCAAATAATGTTGTAAAGCCAATACGAGGTAGAGAGTTCCCATTCTTGGAACCTTCAGCAAGTGTAAAACCATATACGGAGCAAGAATTATTTTTAAGACAATTGAATCATTCTTCACATGTGGCTAAATTAGGTGCAAATATAAGCAATGTATATTTCCCAAGTAACGACATTCATAAACCTGTTTCACCACAAGAACTATCGATTGCCAAACTTATGGCAGCTGGTGTACATCTTGGTCAATCTACTGCATTGTGGAGAGCTTCTACTCAACCATATATCTATGGTGAGTATAAAGGGATTCATATTATAGACCTAAACAAAACATTATCACACTTAAAGAGAGCTGCAAAAGTAGTAGAGGGCATAGCAGAAAGAGGTGGTATTATTTTGTTTTTGGGTACAAGACAAGGTCAAAAAAGAGGATTAGAAGAAGCTGCTAAGAGAACCCATGGTTACTATGTTTCAAGTAGATGGATTCCTGGTACTTTAACAAATCCTACCGAAATTTCTAATGTTTGGGAAAGACATGAAGTAGATTTTTTTGATACTCCAACAGGAAGAGAACTAACTCAAAATGAACAGATCAGCATTGTCAAACCTGATTTATTAGTCGTTTTAAATCCAACTGAAAATAGAAACGCTCTAAATGAGGCTATGCAAGCTAGAGTTCCAACTATTGGTATTATTGATACTGATTCAGAACCTTCATTTGTTACTTATCCTATTCCTGGTAATGATGATTCTCTGCGTTCTGTCAATTTGATATTAGGTGTTCTGGCAAAAGCTGGTGAACGTGGTCTAGAGAATAGATTACTAAAAGCTAAGGCAGCTGAAAATGCTGTTGAATCTGACGTAACAATTGAAACTGAGGCTATTGCCTAAACTGAAATTTAATTTAAATAGAACCCATACTCTATCCTAAAAATTCCTGTATATATTACATATAAATTCTTTTAAATATATTTGATATGGATCTCTACCAATTTCTTTTTTGTTTGCTCAAACAATATTCGTTGCTATTAGAGTTTAAGTTCGGCTCTATAAGTAACTTGAACGATAATCTTGAGTTGTTATGTATGTATTTATTTAAATATTTATTTATATGCGTGTTTAAAACAAAATACCCCAGGTATATTATTTTGTTAACTTAAAATGGACAGGTACATATGTTTTAATGGATATGTTCCATATGTCTTAAATGCAAAAGCGCTATTCTTCTTTGAATTAAATTTAGAACTACTCTCTATTGGGTTAAATTATCAAATCAACAATGCATTCAGAGAAATGCTAGGCTATTAATTCAATCTTCTGATTCACTGTCACTTCTCTCGTCCTTTACTATGCCTAACCAAACAATTCTATAAAGAATTCTTAGAATTAAGAAAAACCAATACATGTTAACCAACTGAAGGGCTGAAATTAAAATGAAGACAATTGGCAACGAAATCCAACATTTATATTGCTGAGTTGCAAAATTTAAAGTGTATTGACCTACAGTACGGAATTCTGTCAATACAGACCATAGTATCTTTAGGTTGACATAGTGACGCAGGTAAACCCATGAGAAAACAAAACTTATAAAGGTTACTTGCGTTAAATTTGAATCCAAATAATTCAAAGTTTTAGAAGATGCTAAAAAGAAATCAGATACATCCATGGTAATATAAACAGATAATCCAATTTTAGTGAAATGGAAAACATAAGAGGACCAAATCAATAATAAGGTAACAATGTGATGAAATATCAATTCGTTATGATCTTTTCTTGGCTTTTCTAGTTGTAAAACTAAAATACAAGCTTGTTGGGCCCAAAATGCCGCTTGGCCTAGATAGTATATTTTCATTAAGTAAGAATTGTATAAGTCTGGATATGTTTGATACATTTCTGTAGTTTTGAAAAGCCATAGATCAGAGTTATACATTATGTATAACCCAAAAGGACTAGATATCCCATAATATATTATTGAATACACTTGTTCCATCATTCTATTAACTTTATGCTTAGCAGTAATTTTTAATTTATTAATTGTTAATGGACGAATAACGAGATCCATTAAGAATTCTCTTAAAAATGTAAAAAATATCATATGGAAAAATATAAAAGATAAATCTTTGATACCCTTACCATAATTGTCAGTGTCTCCAATTTTATATGAAATTGTGACAAATTGATGTAGAGGATTGGTTTCAGTTCTATTCCCTGAAGTGTAATAAGTAATATAAACTGTTAGCAATATTAATAAAGGTGTCAGCCATGTATGACGATAATTCATTTCCCTATATGAAAGCCATATTTTTTTGAGAAGGTCCTTATCATTCTTTGAAGTGTTGGATAAATATTGTAATCTGTTCTTAGAAGCAATTTTTGATTCTTTACTTTCACTCATTGTTCCAAAACTATTAATATTATTGTCACCTAAATTAATCTTCCCGATGGATGAGGTTCTACGTGACCTGGCTTTAATTTTTGTATTAACTGTTACATCTTCATTTGCAGTTGAAAATGGTAGATGTTCCTTTTTCATAGAGTATGAAATGTTAGTTTCATTAGGTTGTATCATTATAATACAAGATTTGATTATTTGGAAATATTAGTTTTGATAAAGTACTATTCTTGATTCTATAATATTATAATATATATTTAATTTGATGAGCCTGTCTTCAATAATACTAATTGAATCTCTTGTATTATAAATGAATGATTTTAATATTATTCATGTCAAGTACTTGAAGATAACTTTAAAACCGATATTTGGGAATGAAGGTTAACAATTAATGTCTATTAAGACACATTTATTTATATATGAATGATAACAGATTATTTATATGAAAATATGATACCGATCGTATTTTAATTTTTCATAATCAGATTATAAACAACAGCCTGATGTTTTCATGTTGATCTTTTAAGTTGTGCTTGAATTTCTGGTCATCTGTTAAATTCTTATGGTGTTTCTTATTATTGATATTCCACTCAGCATTCTGTTCATTGTTAAAAAAAAAAAACTTTGCATGGAATACATACCTAGCCATTAAAGAATTATTGAACAAATATTTAGGTACCAATATCACACAGCACAAGAGAGTTTCAGCAAAATAAAAATAAAAAAGATCTTTTTTTTATTTAGTTAAGCTAGGCAAAATATTTGATTGCTAGTCTTAATAACATCTTGCCTGATGTTCGAACTAGAATCGTATTCACCCAGTAAAGAAAAGCAAACTAGTAATAAGCCCTGACAAATATTTAAAGCCATGGATGAATATAGATAGAGCATTCAAGATAATCTTTTCATTTTACTTTTTTTTTTATTTTTTCACTTTTATTGCATTAAGCTTTCTGCGGTAAGTTTCAATTGATTTCGATGTATTCTTGCAGCGACTGCAGCAGTACCATCAATGGAAAATAGTTTAATTCGAAAAAATATCTTAGTAATGGGCATTGCAATTGTTTTTTGTGCTTAGATTTAGGCTTCGATTTAGGCTTGGATTTAGGCTTGGATTTCTCTAAGAATAGATTACGTTACCTTCCTTTCTTAGGGTGAAAGAGGCTAACTCGTTTAGATTTCAACAATCGAAAACTTTTTGTTTAACCAAAAAAGAAAAAAGAAACAACAAACTATGACGGCGGTTTCGAGGACAAATCCTCGTTTGGTCGCCCCGTGCATTGTTTTCTGTAAAATACGTAAATTTCCCGTCGATACGGAGGGTTCTCTCCCCGCAGAGCGGCTAACGTAGCGGAGAAAATACAAAAAGAAACGAAACTATTTTATAGATTTTGTTTCGTTTCTTTTTTCAAATTTATTGTAACAGCAAAAAAAAAAAAGAAAAAAAACACATTTTATTTGTTTCGAGACGCTTCCTTGTTGATACGATGGGAATTGCTGTTGAAGGTAAGAAGAGATTAGAGATTGGTTCTTTTTCACTCTACAGGAAACAGCTGGAGCAGACAGGGAAAACAAGAAGACTGGAAATCTGTTTCCATTTCACTTATACTTTGGAATTGGTTTTGGGAGTATCCATCCCTCTTTAAAACTCAGTTAAGCTAACAATTGATGTACACCTACCTAATTGGTTAAGTGGTTAAATAAACATAAACAACATCTCGCAGTGTGTTTTGCTTTCGCTCCTTTTGGAACCTATTAAGACTAGCCGCTGATGTGTTATAACATTTAGCCCATAACAGTTGGATATTCTAAGAAGGAAAAAAAAAGTGGAAAAATTTGGTGGAAAATATAAGGGGGGAGAGGATAATTAGAGCGGGTCTTCGGAAAGGGATGATTCCTTTTTTATTCCATTCAGTTTTCCAGCTAAGAGAAACTGTTGAAGATTTAAAAGCAATTTGACTCTAAAGTTCTGATCTTGTTCCATGGAAGGGAAAATTCCCTTAATAATTGATGGTTTGGTGGTTGGCTAGCTAATTTAATATGTTTTCCCTCGTTTCTATTCGGTTACCCATTCAGGGATTCTCTTTTAACTACTTGAAACTGAAGACGTTTATTACTCTACAAAAACAATAGAAACAAAAAATAAAAATAAAAAGTGTTTATTTGAATATGTTTTCTTAAAGATTAAATAAATGTTATACATTTAACCAATAGATTTCAAGTGATTTCTCCTGATATCCTGATTTTTATTAAAACGCTAAAGGTCGTATAATCAATTACTTGATGTAATAATTCTTGGCATTTTAAGCGAACAGTGGAAATTAATCAATGGGGAGAAGATTCCTATAATATAATAAATGTTACTATTTGTAGTGGAAACTAAACTCCATGGATATTTCTCAACTTGAGTTCTATACACATGAAAATAACCTCTCCCTCCATTAAATACGATAAACTTACAATACTTTGAATGTTTCTATTTATAAAAATTTACTTATTTTTACGTTTGGCTTCGATGTGGAAACGGAAAATAAAACAAATTCACCTAAACATAAATATTACAATTTAATGATTTCATTTACAAAACAGTTAAATATTAGGGATCAAAATAATTTTTTTTAGAATTAAGTTACGTTACCGTATTAAAAAACTAACCAATTGGCTAAATTAAAGAAGTGCTTCGAACAAGGCTCCAAAAATAAAATAGTAGACACAGATATGCCTATTTAAAACCATAGAGGGTATACAATGAAAGAAATCAAGGAATAAGTAAATAAACACCCTCTCAATATCGAGATTATCGACTTGATTGGAATCAAGTAACTTTTTATATTTTCTGAATTAACTGATAAAAGGGATACTTAGCTTCTATTTCAGATTTTTAAAAAATTACAAATATTATATGTAAATAAATATAAACGTCAAAGTTAACAACAAAATTCCAGTTCATCTCATCTCATCTCATCTCATGCTGTGAAATGTAAATAGGAACAATTTGTTAATCACATAATACTGTGTTTTCCAAAGATAATAAAACCAACACTTAATTGTAGAACCAACCAATTCTTCTGACGTCCGAGGTACCCTTAGCATACACAAGCCAGTATTATTTAATTTATCTATAGAAGTAGCAATTTTTCACTGAGGGTATTATTTACCCAGCAATGCTTCCCTCTTTGTTAGTTCTTAAATTACCAATTATTCTTCTAAAGTCGAGTCACTTTGAAAATGCGGTATCAAAGCTATTTTACAAATATTCTGTTCAAAATGAAAAAAAGTATCAGTTTTAAAAAAAAAAAGTCATGCGGTGCCATGATTTTAGGCAAGCAAAGAGACAACTAAGGGTGCAAGTATACATTCAGGCAAATATGTTCTTAAAATCAAACAAAAGCAAAAAAAAAAAATATAGATAATAATACCAGTATATCAATCAATCACTCAATCAATATTATCTAGTGTGCTTCATCTAAATAGTTAGTTAGTTATTTAATTTACTACTCCCTTTGTTGGAAAGAATAAAAAAGTGGGCTGTCGCTATGTTTCTTGGTTGCTTTCCCAGCCCATCTCTTTGTTCTATCGAAACATTCCCCTTCTACTCAAGTAACCACTCGTGATTTATACAGTACTACTCTTTGAGCAACCTACACTTGTTGCATTCAGCTGCTGGACTTCGCTATCATCTTCCACAAGAGAGTTCCATGAAATATTATAATTTATATCACATTTACAGCATTGTCCACCTAAGTCACTTAGCCTCTTGCACAAAACTAACCCACAATTCTAAAACAACCTTGAATATCATTAAGACGAGTTCCAGAAGTACCAATTATATTAGCAAATGAACAATTTTTCGAAAAAGCAAACTGCTGCAGATTATAAATTTAAAAGATATTCGCCGTGGGAAACAGCTGTGAAGTAAGCTTCCTGATCTCTCTCAGCTGCCCCCTCACTCACTTTCTTTCTTCCAGAACCCACAAGAACAAGAACAAGAAGATGTGGAAACTGATAACAGGCAAGAAAACGTTTCCTCTAAATCCCTCTTCCCCTCCTTTACCTCTTCAAGATAATTAAAAGAAAATCGATTGCTATCACAAGTCCCATTAATTATTGCTATTATTACACTTAGATTAAAGGATGTAAAAGTGGTTGTTTGCTTCTTTGTTGTACCTTCTTAATTCTGTAGACTCTCAAACAGAGAGAAAGAAAGAGAGAAAGAAAGAGTCTTGCTTGGTTTGGTTTCTTGAACCATCCATCCCTCCCCATTCCGCCCCATCGACGTTCCATTGATTGAATGAATCATCTTCATCATCAATATCATCAACTTATTATCCACATCTATATTCCACTCATCAAAATCAGTCAAGGAAACGTAACGTGAGCAATAATCTTCAGTTTATGTAGAACGTCATTATCCCCCTCTCTCCTTATATCAAATAGTTGTAAATGTTATTGTCACATTACTTATACTATATACGGTTAAGATTAAAACGCAAGAAACTTATAGTAGATATATTCCTTTTTCTCAGCTATTGTTTCCATTACCAAGGTAATGGAAATAAGTGGATGATTAGATTAAATTTATAACTTAAGAATGGGCTTAGCTCAGTTCACCTTTTCTGCGGGCTTCATCCTAATTATTCTTAGAATTCATTATCACAATCACAATCATACAAACTAAACTATCTTGCTCATTGTTTGTATAAAATCAAAGATATAAATATAATACTACTATAAATATCAAAAACTAATTGAACTATCTATCACGTTATTGTAGAATTTAATCACTGACGGTTATACTTCGGTGATTTTTGAATTTTTGTAGTAAATTGAAGAAAAGCAAGTTAGAGCAAAAAAAAAAAAACTATAGGAATTAATCAAACCAGAAGAAGACTAACTTAAAGTTAAAGTTAAAGTTAAAGTTAGAGTTAAAGAACAAAATTGCTTTGTCTATTATTGTATATTGGATTTATCTTTATAGCAAAGAACGATTTGAAAAGTATAAAAATATCGATTAAAGATAAACCAGAATTAAATTTAAGCTTTATTGAAATAATAATATTACAAAAAAAGCTAACTAAGGATTGTTATAACTGGAATATTTAATTAATTAACTTCTGAAAATCTTTGTGATTGAGTTGTCATAGTAAATATATTGAAATTTTCCTTCTTATAAGAAGCTATTTGAGTTACTAAAGAATAAGGATTGGATATTAATTTATATATACAGGTTTGGTGGAGAAAGAAGTTTTATTTCATCATTTTTTTTGGACTATAAGAAGAAGCAAAAATAAAATTATTATTACTATTTTACACATTAATAATATAATAAACTTGTACTTTCATTTGAAGTTACTTATTTACTCTGGTTCAAACAAAGTAAGTTTTAGGTCGTGATCACAGTTACTCAATTTTTCATCTTTTGATAGATAAGTGCAGTCTCAATTCGTTATCCTTTATTTTTATCAATTTTTTCGCAATTTGTACAAAGAGGGAAAAGTAACTAACTGTTGCCAACCAAAACTATTGATCTCTCCCATATATATATATATTATTTGTGCTAATTCAATTTTTTTCTGAATTTTTGTCAAGGTTATTGAAAAAGTGACTTAACTAATATTGTTTATTTTTATATCAATGGAAAATTTGTTCAAAAAATGGTTTTTATCAGAAAAACCTACTGGAACAAATGTTTCTGATTTAGATAGCAGCGTCAATCCAAAACTTTCATTACAGAGGTTACTACGTCATAAACTCACAAAAAGAGATGTTTTACATTACTCTTTTCTAGGCTCAGTAATGTTATTTGTCTTCATTTCAAATCCTGCGCCATGGATTTTCAAAATCCTATTTTATTTATGCTTAGCAACATTATTTTTATTACCAATTACATCACAGTTTTTTTGGAGTGCTTTGCCAATTTTAACCTGGTTAGCTTTATATTTCACTTCATCTCATTTTCCAGCAGAGAAAAGACCAAAAATTACTGTTAAAGTATTGCCAGCTGTGGAAACTATACTATACGGTGATGACTTGAGTGATATCTTAGCCGCATCAACAAATTCTTTTTTTGACTTATTGGCCTGGTTGCCTTATGGTATCTTTCATTTTGGTGCACCTTTTGTTGTTGCTGCAATAATTTTTCTCTTTGGCCCACCAACAGTTTTAAGAGGTTACGCTTTTGCTTTTGGCTATTTAAACCTAATAGGGGTTATTATACAAAATGTATTCCCAGCTGCACCACCATGGTACAAAAATATGTACAATTTACAAGCTGCACACTATGGTATGCATGGCTCCCCAGGTGGGTTATCTCGGATAGACAAATTATTTGGTATTAATTTATATTCATCTGCCTTTGCGAACTCATCGGTTATATTTGGTGCTTTTCCATCATTACACTCTGGTTGTGCCACAATGGAAGCTCTATTCTTTTCTTACTGCTTTCCAAAACTAAGACCTTTATTTATTTTCTACCTTTGTTGGCTGTGGTGGTCAACTATGTATTTGACTCACCACTACTTTGTCGATCTTATGGCAGGATCAGTATTAGCTTATGTGATATTTCAATATACCAAATATACCCACTTACCCATAGTTGATACTGATCTATTTTGTAGATGGTCCTACTCATCGGTTTCTACTTTTGATATTACAAAGAACAATCCATTGAACGAAGACTCAAATGATATAGAAAGTGTACCACTAACAAGTCTAGAAAATAATTATGAATTAGGGATAAGGAGAGAATCGAGTAGAAGCTCGTCGATCTTTGAAGTTCCTCTTGGTTCTCTTTCATCTTCAACTTCTAATACATCTTTAAGTGAATTTAATGATGACTATAGAACGACTTCCCCAAGATTGAACAAATATAGAAATGACTAAACTGAATAAGATTGAATCAGGTTAAATTAAATTACAGAATATAACTGCCCAGTCATTTCAAATCAGAATAACAATATTAGACCGAAACCAATTTTAGTCTTAATTTAACGACCCCCCCCCAAGTTTGCATATATTAAGATAAATTAATTCATATCTATCCACTGCATAAATATTCAAATTTTGTATAATTATTTAAATAATGACAAGTCAATACCGACTTTAAAACATATTCTTATTTATTAAAGTGAAAGCATTAGAATATTTATAAATATTTCTTAATATTTTTATGCTATTTACAGATGATGAATGTAGTCGAGTCTACAGTAAAGTATGTATGTGCTAATATCTGTATCTTACACAGATATTAGCTTTTATGTATATATATATATATTGGCAGATTCCAATTTTTATTACTTGAATTTTCATTGAATTTTCATATTACTCTTCTCTAGGATCGTTTTATACCCTGCTGCTCTATCAATTGATGGTGCAACATCTAATTCTTTTGTTGTATCTACTTTAATTATTGATGATCTAATAACACGGGGATCATTTTTTAGTGTTCTTAAAATTTCAGATTGAACACCAACAGAAGCATCAAATAACATCATAAATTGATAACCTTGAAAATGTTGTTCCTCATCTTTTTTGATAATCTTTGGTAATGGGCTAGTTCCCATTGGTGATATTTTTCTTACAACACCTCTGTTATTAATAATTAATTTTCCAATAGTAGTTGCTAATTCTTTTGCTTCTTTATTCGCCACAACAGGGTTCATCACACGAACAATACCAATCAACTCATATAGCATCGTAATTATATTTAATTTGTATTTATGTTTTTGTTTTTCACTCTATTGTATTATCAATATGATATGATATGATATATGTCTATGGATAATATTCGATGTTATACGCTCAAGACCCAGTAGCAATATCCAAAAAATAATAAAATTGAGAATGATGGAAAATATATAAAATGTGCAATCAATTAAAGACCTTCCTCCCAGTATCCTAAATGAGAGTAGTTTAAATATCAAAATTTCTTTGATATATAGGAGCCTTTAGCTAAACCTTGTAGTTTCTTGATGCTTGCTCAATGTTGTTAGGCCTTTAACATATAAATATATATAAAATTCGTTTTTTTATTTTTTCAAATTGTATCATTTTTCATATTGAGAAAGCAAAACCAGGTTCGTACATAAGTACTTCAAAAGTCACAAAAATGTTAAATAGGAAGGGATCGAGTTTCAGCGGTTATTTGATTGAAAGGATGAACATCCTTTCAATCTTATTAAATAACTTCTTATAAACATAAACATAAGAATAAACATAAACATAAGAATAAACATAAACATAAGAATAAACATAAACAAGAATAATGTGTACTATAACGAGACGAGACGAGACGATAGATTCTACCTCTACCCAACCAACCTAGAATTGGTAACTGGATTTCGCTGACTCCATGATTATCACGAGGAATAAGATACCTTATATGAAATATATAAATATATAAAGTTATAAATATAAAATATATAAAATTATAAATGTATAAAATTATAGTTCCTGGATGTAAATTGGGACTATAAACATACTTTGATTATTTATTGAACCTAGTGTTGTGGAATTGCTTTGTTTCCTTTTACTTTTTTGACAGGTAGGGGAATCCAGGCAAAATTAAAGATCATATATATATACTCTAAACAAGTTACTTTTATCTGTTTCAGTGTTTCTCGAGAGGTAAATATCTTTATTTCTCATAACTGATGCAGAGATAAATAGCATATTTACTTTTTACATTTAAATGGCAGTAATCCCACCCCAATGAAATTACCTCAAGGCTGTGTTTATTTTATTTAAAATTAATAAAATCTCATCACATAGATTATCCTCAATTTGTTTGGATAAGTAAGAATATATCATATATATGTATATAAATATATCATTGTCATCATCATCATCATCATCGTCATATGATAGAATATTTGTCTTGTTCGTTTGATATGATTACGATGTCTAATCACGTGTGCAACAATAAGTGTTATGGCTTTCAAATTTGAATATAAAAGGAAAGGAAACAAATTAGGAGCATTTTCTATTCGAGGAAACAAAGAAAGAACAGAGACATCTGAAAAAAAAAGCCAATTAATTAATCTGAAGATTGATTAAATAACGTTTAAAGAAGCAAATTTGACTAGGAAACTAAACTTTGAGTAATTGTTACAAGGAGTAAGAAGTCATTGAACTAGAAGAATAAACTAAAATTTTCTTTAGTTGAATAATTAATTTCTATACTTCATTTCTTCCTAAAAAATAATAATTAGAACATTACATATTCGATAAGCCTGCTAATTTACTTCTAATTAATACCAGGGTGATATAAAGAAGTTACGGGTTAAACTGATTAAATATGTTTCAATGGTTTTTTGGGAAAAACCTTACTCCTCAAGAAAGGCTGAAAAAGGTATGTTTCATTGTTAATAATATCTTTATATCCGTATAAAGCATACTTCAAATTTTACTTGAGTAACCATTTACTAACCTTAATTATTTTTAAACCTCTTTTTATGAGATTACTATTATCGTCACAACAGAATCAAAGAGCATTAGATAGAACTCAAAGGGAACTCGATAGGGAAAAAAGAAAACTTGAAGTGCAAGAGAAAAAATTAATAGCTGATATAAAAAGATCTGCCAAAAATGGCCAAATAAATGCAGCAAAAATTCAAGCAAAGGATTTAGTGAGAACCAAGAATTATATTCAAAAATTTGATAATATGAAGACACAATTACAAGCTATTTCATTAAGGATACAAGCAGTTAAAAGTAGTGATCAAATGACAAATTCTATGCGCGAAGCTACAATCTTACTTGCAGGAATGAATAGATCTATGAACCTACCACAATTACAACAAATATCCATGGAATTTGAAAAACAAAGTGATTTAATGGATCAAAGACAAGAGTTTATGGATGAAGCAATTGATAACGTCATGGGGGATGAGTTAGATGAAGATGAAGAGGCAGATGAAATAGTTAATAAAGTATTGGACGAAATAGGAGTAGATCTTAATGCACAACTTCAAGATACACCCCAGAATATAATTCAAAATTCGGCAACTAATGAATTAAATACTCCTATCAAAGAAGCTATTGGTGCTGGTGGGGAAACCTTTCCGTCTCAGGATGATGAACTACAGGCACGTCTCAACAGTTTAAAAAGGTAGTGATAATGACAGTTTGGTATCGTTTTAAAATGTAAAAATTCATTGAGTTCCATGAACTGTAATTACTCGAAATGATTTATGACCAATTCAATTTAAATGTACAGAGATTTACTAATTTTTTTTTGCTTTTTCTTTTTTTTTCGAATGGTTAAACTGTTTTGTATTTATAGAATTATCATTTAATCGATGGTATAACATATTTTATTAAAATTCGATTGTTGCTTTTAAATAAAGATAAGGATAAATAATTAAATATGACGATAAATACAAAGATTAAGATTCTGAAATAATTTTTTCAGCGACCAAATAATTAAAGATCCTAAAAACACATTCTTCAATAGAATTGGTTGCAGTGTTTATATGAATTTCAGGTGTTAATGGTTCCTCGTATGGTGCTGAAATACCCGTAAACTCTTTAATGACACCTTCTCTTGCTTTTTTATATAAGCCCTTTGGGTCTCTTTTCTCGGCGACATCAATTGGAACATCGACAAATACTTCAATGAATCTCAATCCAGCTTCTTTATGTAATTTACGAGCTCTATCTCTGTCGGCTCTATATGGTGATATAAAGGATGTAATTGCAATCGTGCATGAATCTGCAAATAATTTAGAAACTTCACTTATTCTTCTAATATTTTCATTTCTATCTTGCTCAGAAAATCCTAGATCTTTATTTAAACCAAATCTGATATTATCACCATCCAATCTGTAGGCTGATAATGACTTTTTTAATAACAATTGTTCTAAAGCACAAGCAATTGTACTCTTACCAGATGCACTTAATCCAGTTAACCAAACCGTACAACCCTCTTGTTTTCTCAACTCTTTTCTTTCAACATATGTCAAATTAGGATGCCAGGTAATATTAGTAGCCATGTTTGATAATTATTTTATTTATATTGGTAATAATGTGTATATATAAAAATATAAATTAGAATGTTATTTCCTACTGCATGCGTTCAAGTTTCAAAAGTATTCTAAATCATCAATTAGTCCAAGTTACCAAGGTAAACTCTATTATTTAAAAAAAATTGAATAGCCAAGAGAAATTTTAGCCAAAGTATTGATAGTTCAAAGAACTGATATTTATAACCAACGAATTAACATATCCATTGAATTTTTAGGTATAACTTCATGTCTGTTTCAGATAGCTCAATGGTTAATTATTACCTACCTATTCATTATTAGTTGCACAATTATGTGCTGCTTTAGACTTAAACGGTATTGAGTAATACGCACGTGATATTATTGGTATAATTAAATTGCTTTTCTACAATTCATTTTTTGATGTACCTCATAATTGATAATGACTATCAATAGAGGTAAGATTTTACTACAAAGTGGTACATAATCTGAACTTAATTCATCTCCCTACTATATATGCATTGTTAAAGGAAATAGATAAATCACTGAATTAACAATTTTAATAGTCATTGGGTTTTGAGGGATATGCATATAAAGAGAGATTTTTCAGTAAAATTAATTCAGTATTTAATAGGATATATATATATCTATATATACCTTGGAAATTTCTTGATCAAGCCTGGCCTTTTGGAAATAATTCAATTTATGTCCATTAATCACAAAATTTTGATCTCCAAATCTGATGTTGTACTCCTGTGTATCAAATTAGGGCGATGGTGTTAAACAATCATTAAAAAGCTATCTTAAAATCCAGGTAGCAATGTTTATAGAATTATTGTTGTTGAAATTTTAGAATCAATAGATTGACTACAAAAGAATATTACTTGTTAAAAACCAAACATAATTCAAAATGGATAGTAACAAACACTACTGAATGACAAGACTTAAGTAAAGCCAACAAAATACAAGTTCCAAAAATAAAATGCTCTTACTAAATAAAACACGTAAAAACAAAATATATTATACGATAACCTTACCCCTAAAACCAAGTCTTTAATAATAATATAATAAATTATCTTTCCACCAAACATACTTTCTCTCTTCGGAAACAACATGCTTATTTAATTTATTATTACATTTTCTTAGTATTTATTTGAAATAATATTTAAATTAAAAATATATTTTTTACTAGGTCATGTGATACAGCCTACCCATACATAGGGACATCTTACTCGAGAGAAGTTAGGACCCGGTATCCATCCATACATGAAAAAATACAATCAATTTCACCTTTTTATTTTAATCATAAGAATTATGTCATACAGAATGTTGTGTTTAAATTATTTGATTTTTAAATCTTAATCATATTTTGCCTTACTTTTCCAGTACTTTATGATATAACCAAAGATGGTTACTCCATTTTCTGATAAAATATGTTTATATAAATATATAATTTGAATTTTGTTACAATTTCTTTTTTTTTAACTGCTTCTTTGGCCTAACTGATGTTAAAGACATACATCTTTTATACATTAATGGCAATAATATTTACTTGATGGTAGCTGATTGTAAGTTGAGGCTTCTACTTATTTTATTCTTAATTTCGGTCCCTCCCATCTCTTTATTATATTTTTGTTTTTAAGAATAAAATAGCCTATTACAAATCTATCTATACTATAAATATATTGCTAATATGCTGGATAATATATAAAAATACTTTCTTTTTTAAAAGGAATGATATTATATAACGTATAATATAATATTTAAATAAAATTATTCAAGTTCAATAAATAATTTAATTCTTATTCGAACGGTGATAACTCGATGTTTACTTTATATCATGGTTACTTTATATCATGTTTACTTTATTAATGATCATTTGCATTGTTAATTTGGATATCGAAACAAAAATTTAGGTAGCGGTTGGTAAGAAATTTTCACAATCTTTCAAACAGTTTAGCTGGTCAAAGCTTCTTTAACATTAATTTTGACTTTGGGCAAACTAAAGTTACTAGTAGCTAAAATATTGTGCTAATTAATTAAATTTAGTAGAGGAAAAATGGCAAACTCGGTAACGGCTGTGCTGGGGCAGTGATCGTAACTGTTGTATAATCTATCACTGTTTGAACTATAGTTTTTGTTTTAGAAGTTCTACTTACAGCTTTATTTTTCCTAACTTTGATTATTGTTTTAGTTATAGTTGCCATAGATGTCCTGTACTTAGTGCTTGTGGTTAATTTTGTTTTGGTAGAATAATGATATTCAATTTTACCCTTTCCTGTCTTCGTTGAAGTGACAGTGTCAGTCACCTGATAAGTTTTTGTGTTGGTGACAGTATCATACTCTGTAACATAAACATTATAATATTTTGCATAAGTTCTTTTAGCGATTGTCACTGTTGTGGTTGTATACTCGAACTCGTATTCTGTTGTTCTCGTAATATCGGTTTTGTATTTAGTTTTAGTGTAATAATTGGTAGTCGTTCTGGTCATGGTAGAATAGTTGTTTTCAAAGAAAGTTTTGGTTGCTATCAATGTTGTTGTAACTGAGGTGGAAGTTGTTGAAATTATAAAAAATGTTTCAGTCTCGGTGGTGGTTGTAGTTTGAATCGCAGAAACAGTTTCCCAAATTCCTGAATATTTTGTCTTTGTGCAGTATGATTTCGTTGAAGTCTCTGTGTATGATTTTGTTCGTGTCTTTTTGGTTCGGGTTTTGATAGGAGTATAATTAATATAATATGTGGTTGTAAATATTAGATCTTCATCATTACAGTCTTCATCGTTTTCTTCTTCTTCATCATCATCTTCTTCTTCTTTTTCTTCTTCTTCATCGTCATCATCATTGTTTTCTTCTTCCTCTTCTTCTTCATCGTCATCCATATCTATCTCACTTGTCTTCTTAGTAATTTTCTTTTTTAACCTATCAAACTTACTGTTGCTAATTTCTTGATTTCTACCTTTTTTTTTGTATTTACTTTCGTCCAGAGCTTTTCTGGAGGACTTTTTCTTCTTGTAATAATCTCCTTCATCATCATCACCATCATCGTCGTCATCGTCGTCATCGTCTTCATCATCTTCATCATCTTCATCATCTTCATCATCTTCATCATCTTCATCGTCTTCATCGTCTTCATCATCTTCATCATCTTCATCATCTTCATCATCTTCATCATATTCATCATCATCTTCATCATCTTCATCATCATCTTCATCATCTTCATCATCGTCATCATCGTCATCGTCGTCATCGCACTTCGAATCATCATCTGGAAGTGTGTCATTAATGGGTTTATTACTTTCTACAATAGAAGGGATTTCTTTATTGGGTTTTTTAAAAAAATTACCTAGGTTAGAAGTCTCTGGGCTTATTTGTGACCAATTAATATTTTCTAAAGAATATATTTCATCTATGAAAAATTCTAATACTGAATCAATTAAAGATTTTTTTTCAAATTTAAAAAAAAATCTGTAGAGCTTGCTTCCTAAATTTCTTCTTAAATTTGTATGACTTAAAGATTCTTCATCAACCGACATTACGTTTTTTAAATCATATTTCGATAGTATATTGATAATATTATTTAAATTTTTATACGTCATTTCATCTGTAATTGTAAAATATTTGGTACAATCGTTAATCATGGATTTTACGGCACAATTAATACAAAGACATCTAGATTTATCATCCAAAGTCTCTGCATCCATCTCTAAACAATAAGAACAAAAATTAAATTGCTTGTTAAAGTTTCTTAAAATACATAAGGATAATTTATCATTGTTTTTTGACGTTAAGATTGGTTCCCAATTTTTACCTCCAAAATTCAAACAGTTTTCAATTTCTAATTCATCGGTGTCTATAGAGGTCGTTAAGCTAATCCAAAAATACAACGTAATCCACCAATAAATTTTTAAATATTTTTTCATTTTAGTTTTGTATAAATGTAATATTAGTTTTTGTTTTCTAATTGCCTATATTAGAATTGATTCACTCCGATTACAATTCTCTATTACTTTATTTTATTGAATTCCAAGTTAATTAGTTTCGTATTTAAATAAGTTTATGTTATGGAACTAAACTATAATTTTTGTATTATGTCTAGTGTTACAAACTTGTTTTTCCTTTAAAGAAAACAATGACTTCTTTACCGCCAAAATATAAAAAAAATATGAAATGCGAATATGACATATTATCTAACATTAAGATATGATAATATCAGTAAAAATCAAATCATTCGCCAAATATTTCTGTCATTAGAAAGTAATAGAAAAGACACTCCAAGTACTGCTTCTGCAACAATAACAACAATATATATTTAAACAAAAAAAATAAAAAATAAAATTGCCACTAGCCACAAAAATTTTATACCTTTTGGCACATTTCATTTTATATTTTTATATTTTTATTTTTTTAATTATCCAATTGTATCAACTACAACTTGTTATATTGAAATTAAGACTTGCTCAATTTATCAATCAACATCATATACATCATAGAGTTCAAACTAATGGACCACATTGTTTGATGACGCAAATTATGAAATATTTAAATCTAAAGATTTCATAATTTGTCTAAGGTTTTGCCTGCCGGTGTTATATCTAATATAATGGGATAGACATGTTGTGGTGATGCTTAATCCGAGTCTATATATACTCATGTCAATATCGACCCCATGATTGTGACGTAAAATTTAAGTATGTCGTTTTGTAGTATAATTTTCTTTTATTTGTTGTATTAATTTTCTCATATCAATCTACAAATGTTGATAGCTTTTTGATTAGTAACACACGTGACCATATTTACAATAGACCTATAGATATTGCAATTCCTTTTTTTATGATAGATTTAACTTAAACAATTATATAATTCGGTAATAAAATTATAAACTCGATATATAATTAAGTTTAAAATGTATTTCGTTTAAAGATAAAAGACTAATCAGAATGTTCGAAACAGATCATGTGACTGTCAGTTACCACCGAAGAAAATATAATTAAAACAATTTAATTAGTGAAAATTTGATTTGTTAAGAAAAGGAAATATATTACCCGGTCAATAAAGAAAAAGGATTGGTAACTATATAATGAACTACTACTATTTCTCTACCGAAAACTTTATGTATTCTAAATTATATCACAACACCAAGAAAACTTCCAAGACTTAGTAAAGTAGAGTTAAAGAAATAGTATATTCACATTATAGTGTTTAAATGTATTGTTCCTTTCCTTACCAGTAACATATACACTTCCTATCTTTCTTAACTTGCTTCTACCAGACATATCCTAATACTAAAATATTTCAGCGTGATACAGACAAGACGGGTCAAGATCCTAAGTTAATTTTTCCATTTTTTTTTTCTTTGGTGAAGTAATTTTTTCGGATATAAAATTTGCTACTATTTTATAAATCAAGCATTTGAACAAGCTCTTGTTTTAATTTTAATTCACAATCTAACCCTTTCCTCTCCATCCCCCCACATATATATATATACAAACTAATTTTATATTCTTAATAGAGGTATTACTATCAATTAAATTAGCTCATATATAAATAATTATTATACTTTATTATTTATTATATTAGCTCTGTTATTTAGATTTATTCTTTCTATTATAACTAACATATTATCCGCAAACTGTATATATTTTTATTTTAGTAAATAACAATGGTTGCTTACGTTTCTCAATTAGCTTTTAAGACTGTCCCACATTTTGGTAAAATATCTACCAAGAACCTAGCAAGTTATGCTCCAAATTTAATGTTATGGGGTGGTGCTTGGGCATCCTGTGTTGCTGTTTACACTTCAGGATGGCCAATTTTCCAAGATACTTTTTACAAAAAATTACCTTATTTTGGTTCTTACTGGGTTAAGGAAGTTCTACCAGAAGATAAACAATACTAATTGGAATCGATTCTGTTATATTTTTCATTTATTTTTATTTTTGCAATTCAAAAATATAAATTTCAAACATTAGAACGTACAATTAGAAATTCAACTGATATAATTATTGGAATAATGCGTTCATTACAACAATGATGAAGTATAAAAACAATTACTTCCATTAATTATCATTACTTTATATATTCTCAAACCCTTCAAATAAATATCTAACTTATTTATATTTCTCTAAATAAATCAAAACTTTATTATTCAATTGTTCACCCTTTTTAAAAAATGTCATCATGGCATTTTTGTATATCTAGGACCAATTTCAGATAGTAGAATAAAATGATTTGTATTAAATTACATCTCTATGTATAGTAGCTTAATAATATTTTAATGTAGTGATATTTCCAACCAAAAGAAAAATGTTAAAAATGAAGATTGAAGTTGTAGCTTGAACTGTTTAATTTAAATACGTTTCTATATGTCGTGACTTACTTATTCTGATAACTGCACAAGGTTACTGTATTTTACTTTAGTGTCATTATGATATTCTATTGAAGCACAGGTTTTATTCTTAATGAATAATCGTCAGTTTTTGTTGCATATTTGACACCTTTAAATAATTTCTCATCATTAAAAGCTTTTAAGCCAGAAACAATATTGAGGGTCTTAACCCTAATACCACTTGCCAATTGACCTATATGCTCATAATGAAGTGAAATACGACTTAAATACATTTTAGTAATAGGGGTTTTTGATGAATACTCAACACAACCATTTAAAGTTGGTGATATACCCGATGGTGTTGTTTCATCAAAAATCCAAATTGATTTATTTGGCGATATGCTATTTTCAAATCTACCATGCGTACTTCTCAACATCTTTATTTTGTATTCGGCATCATCATCATCATCATCATCATCATTATTATTATTATTATTATCATCATCATCATCATCATCATTATCATCATCGGTGTTATTATTATCATCACCATGATCATTGAAATCATCATTATTATTATCAAACTTTTGAATATTAGATTTTTTATTTCCGTCTATCCCGTTTGGTTCAATATCGTAATTGCTAGGTTTTACTTCAGTGAAATCCCCATTATTTGTAGCCGTAGCAGAAAAATGTAATTCCACCTTCAGATTTTTGATCTCTGTAACTTGATTATATTTACCAATATTAATAGACACTTCAAATTCATCACCATTTGAGCCTAGCCCATCTTCAAAAAAGATATCGACCATACCAATTCTATTACTAAAACTTCCGTATGACTTTTCTTTCTCCTTTGTAGGGTCTAGAGTTATTGTATAGTCCATCAATGTAAATTTTCCATCAGGTGGTATAAATTTCAATGAACTTATTGAGCTGTTGTCAATGTTTTTCAAATATTCATCTATATCAACACATTCATGGAAAGAAGGATGGCCGATATCATTTCCCGATAATTCTAATTGTAATTCAACTAATGGATTACCATTCAGGAAACTTTGAACGTAAGCTGTGCCTTTTAGATAACCATTAACGATTTTTTTGATTGATTGTTTAGAACGTGTCAATTCATTGGATCTTCTGATCTTTGTTTGATACACAACATGTACAGATTCTACTAGATCGATATAAATTTCATTATTATTATGTTTAACATTTTGAGATCTCCAAGGAGCATTAGCTTTATTTTCTTGGAAAGAGAAATCTTGGAAAATTGGCTTTTGGGCTTGAGATGATTGAATAGCCTTTTGTATATTTTGTGCAGTTGAAGTGAACACTTTTGATAAGTCTACTTTCATTGGTACATTCTCCTTTATAAAATTTGTAGAGGTTTTACCGACGTTTGGTTCACCACCATTTATCATCCAATAAAATATTAATGAAATTTGATCATAATTATTGCTAATTTTTTTTACAGATAATCCATCCTTGTCATAATAATCCATTAGTTTTACATCGATCTGTTCCAATAGTACATAAGGATCAAGATCGGTATTATCCTTTGATCTTGATTTTAGACACCAATAGTAAAATCTATTAATTTTTGAATAATAACCAAAAATTTCCAAATCAGTACCTAAATTTCCATGTAAAAATTTACCACCATTTTCGAAGGATTCATTCTTCTCTGAACCTCTATTTAAGCTTACACCTAGTTCAGGGTATATACTTTGTAATTTAGTTAAAATCTGTCTAAAAGATGGAGCATTAGAATTGATTAAAAATTGAAAAATCAATGCATTATTAGTATCTGTTATGTAAAATGAAATATACATTGAGGGCAATTGATACGATAGAAACAGAATTGTGAGCTCAGATACTTGTAGATATGAAATCAAGCATACAAATACCCATATATATGTATACTCAATATTTTTAATAGTAGATCAAAAGACCTTTTACCTTTTACCTTTTACCTTTTTTTTTTTTTCATATATATATATACATATATCTATATCTATATCTATATCTATATCTATATCTATAATATGTAATATATTATATATTTCGAAACTTCTTTACTTTGACCTTTTTTTCATTTTCATTTTCATTTTCATTTTCATTTTCATTTTCGTTTTTTCGTTTTTCGCTTTTCTTAATTTTTTTTTCGTTTTTCCTCTTCCCTTGTCTCAGAATATACCGCACGCTGTCTATTGCCCACTCTATTGCCCACTCTATTGAAAATATCTCTCTTTGCTCTTCTCCCCGAGACAACACAGCACAGCCTTTGATTTTTAATTTGTAGTGTAATTTTTTTGTCTTACGAGAGAAAACAGAGCAGGAGCAGGAGCAGAGCAGAGCAGAGAAATATAAAAATTGAAAAATGTTTAACTTTTTATTTTTGTTAAACCAAAAATGTAAAGTAAATAATAAATTAAGAACAAGAACAAGAACAAGAACAAGAACAAGAACAAGAATAAGAATAAGAATAAGACTAGAGATAGTTTAAACTTGCATTTGAACTTTTGCTTCTAGTTCAGCTCAAGCTTTTATACAATAGACAAACACGTAACTGAAAATTTATACCAGTAGAGGAAGGGAACTAGTCTTATTTTACCTTATTATAATATTATTTTAGATTGTTGGGTACTCTTCCGATTATAGAATTAGAATTTGTATATAAAGGGAATTCAACAGACTTGTTGTTACTGTGATTAGATTTTGACCCATTTTTGGAGCCTTTGCTTATTGAAGTTGATCGTATTAATTTCCTATTCAAAATCCCGATGAATAATAATAATAACAATAACAATAACAACACTAATAATAATAATAGCATTTCGGGAAATACTGGTCCCATGGGTGGTTCGAATGTAAGAAATAATAACGGGAATAATTCTAATTCTAATGGTGGTGGCCAGCCCAATCCTTTTAGTAATATAGGAACACCTTCATTCAGTATGTCACAGATACCACCTCAGATTCTTCAAAATTTAACTCCACATCAATTGCAATTAATCCAACAGAGACATCAACAACTGCTAAGAAGTAGGATACAACAAGCTGAAAGATCGATTATTTCACAAAATCAGCAAAAACAATCTTTCTCAACAACCGCAACAGATGCAACAACAGCTGATGAATCAACAGCAAGGGTCAACTCCACATTCAAATCAGATGCAACAAACTCAAGTTCAGCAACAAAAACATGCAAGTTAGGTTCACAAAGGAAAGATTACCAATGACTATGTTAATAACAGCAATTTCATCTATGGGAACTACTAACTTAAATCAGAAGGATATACAAATACAGCAAAATCAGACTGCAAGAGATATACCTCAGAATATACCTCAGAATACATCTCAATTACCATTCAACCTTCCCCCACAAATTGCACAGTTACCATTGCCTATGCAACAGCAGGTTCTAAATTCATTAAAACAACAGGCCATACAGAAGAACAACCCATCTGTTGTAGCTGCGGTCACCATGGCTCAACAACAATTACAACAACAAATGCAACAGCAAATGTACCTTCAACAGCAGCAAGCACCTCCTCAACAACAGACTCAACAACAACAACAACAACAACAGCCGCAACAACAGCCGCAACAACAGATACAGCCGCAACAGTTCCCACAGGTCAACAAATCAGTCCCTCAATCTCAAACAAAGTCTCAGCCTAAGGCTCATTCAAAATCTCAAAATAAAACTGCCAAAGGTCAAGGAAGAAGTGTTACACAGAAGGCATCTGGACAGAAACAAAATCAAACAGCCCATCAGTACCAAGATAATATTTCAAATTCAACATACCAAAATCCAAATCAATCTCATGTTCCAGGAACAGAAGGGATGAACTCTCATGCGTTAAATGTTTCCAAACAAAAGATTTCTGGTACAGCAGAAAAAGTTCAAGGAATGAATAGTTACGCTAAGCAAAATGACATACTCCTGGATACTACGAAAATGAATTTACCAGAATTTCAAACAATTAAATACAACCCTCCTGAAAAAAATCTTCCTTATCCTACTTATTGGTCAGAAAAGAATCCTACAACGGATACATTTGTATATGAACAAATTATCCAACGTGATAAAACCAATAAAATCGATAAAGCCAAGGAACAGACTGGATATGCACCATTTAGTATTTACGGTTTCAGCAACAAAGAATATCTAGGTAGATTATGGCATAGTTTAAAATACTATCAAGATTTAAAGTCAACAAGAATGAAATCAATTACTAATACAGCCCAAAATCTTCCTAGCGCAAGTATATGGGGAAATGGTTATTCTGGCTATGGAAATGGTATAACAAATACCATGACAAATATATTTTCAGGTGATATGCAATATAATAGGTCAACTATTGACATGGATATGATGGACATATATGAACAAGCTATGAACGAAGCTCATGAGGATCTTGTCCCAATTAGATTAGAATTTGATCAAGAGCGTGATAAGTTTTCTTTGAGAGATACGTTGTTGTGGAATAAAAATGATAGATTAGTTAATGTAGATGATTTTGTGGAGGATATGCTGCGAGATTTCAAATTTGAGGAGCAATTTATTGCACAAGTTTCTGATTCTGTAGCTCAATCCATTAAAGAACAAATAATTGATTGTCAACCTGATCCCTTTATTGAAATTAAGAAAGGTCACTTAGGTGGAGATGATATGCGCATAACCATCAAACTAGACATTGTTATTGGCCAAAGTCAATTAGTTGATCAAATAGAGTGGGACATTTCAAATCCTGAAAATAATCCGGAAGAGTTTGCTGAATGTATGTGTCGTGAGCTAGAGCTTCCCGGAGAATTTGTTACAGCCATAGCACATTCAATTAGAGAACAAGTTCATATTTATCATAAATCTTTAGTACTGCTCGGTTATAAATTTGATGGGTCAAATGTTGATGATGCTGATATTAGGAGTAGACTCCTACCAGTCATTACGCTTGACAATATTTATAGATTGCCTTCAGATAGCAAGGTTTTCACTCCGAACTTAATCCAAATTTCTGCTGCTGAATTAGAAAGGCTTGATAAGGATAAAGATAGAGATTCAAGAAGAAAAAGAAGACAAGGTAGATTTAATAGACGTGGTATCGTAATTTCAGGAAATGTTGCAGGTACACCGTTATCTAGCAGTGCATCTCCATCCACAACAAATACTAATGCTATGGGTTCTAATTCAATAATTGCAGCACAAGTGGGTGAAATATCACTCCCAGATATTGCAGATGTACCAAGAACATTTAGAACACCTGTTCCAAGTACACTGTTACCAGGTGGATTAGATTTAGGACCTTCAGTAGAATCGTACGAACTTAAGACCAGAACAGAATATAAGGCAAGGCCTGACAAACCTAAACCTGAGATGCCAGCGTGCTATATTATCGACCATATACCTGGAAAATCATTATTGTTGTCAATTACCCTTAAAAACTCATCGGAAAAGAAACCAGATGACGCAGTATTACCAATAAAATCTGATTCTAATAATTTGAATGTTCCAAGGGATGAGAATTTAAATTTAACTTCAAACACAAATTCAAATACAAATACAAATTCAAATTCGAATTCGAATTCTGAAATAGTTACCAAAGCTGAACCAACACAAATTCTGGAAGTCAACAACAGCAACAACAGCAACAACAGCAACAACAATAACAACAGCAACAACAACAACAGCAGCAGCAACATCAGCAACAATAACGACAACGACAATAACAACAACAACCCATTGCAATAAATTGAGGGAACCATTAATGTAAAACCATGATTTCTTGTTTAGCCTAACAACTACAACTATCCGCAATATAGCTGCCGCAATGATAATAATTAATTAACTGTGACTATTTGAAATAGAAAATGCATGGAAATGATATGTCTAATTGTACAAGTATATAAATAGAGATTTTTATATATATATATTATATATATTTATGAATGTTATGTAATATTAAACCATCTGTTAAAGCACTTTATCATGTGACTGACTCTTAAGTTCTCCATTTTCTTAGTAAACAATAATCTGGGTTACAGATTCAGGAACGAGGTTGCCTCAATTTCCTTTTTTTATTCTTTTTTTTTACTGGTTTACCTTTAAAAAATAGTATAATACCATTATAATATAGTATATACAATAAAATATTGTATATACTCTTCCTGTAATTTTCCGTCATTTTGAGATCGGGGGTCAGAAACCCGCGCACAAGAGTAGGCGTAGGCAAAACAATGAAATGTGTGTATGTTTCCTTGTATGTTCCGCAAGTTCTGAGTTCTGAGTTCTGAGTTCTGAGTTCTGAGTTCTCAATTTACAATTTACAATTTTCCAAACCACAAGGACAGCTCTCTAGTAAATAATGTGACAGCATGACCAAAGGACATAGATAACCTTTGTATTTCCTCTCTTATTCCTGCCAAGGTAGTATTGTATACCTACAAACAGCTACACTAGTATATTTATATATTTCCGTTTTGTTTTATGTTGCAATAGCTCTTTTGCCTGCACTAGATAGATATTCTCCAAACCCAGCGCAGCCCAAACCAAAGCAAAGCAAACCTTTTACTATTCCTTCACCTTCACTTTCCCCTTCTGTCCTGCCCTGTGCCACATGCCTTGCCCGCGGCACACTGACGGAGAGACACGGTGATGGAATTGGAATTGGAATTGGAATTGGAAATGGAAATGGAAAGAGGATAGGAGAGAAGGAACACAAAACGAGGACGAGGACCAGTTCGAAATGGGAAATAGAGGCACGTACACAATGACTGCCAGTATATGTGTGTGTGTGTGTTGGTGCCAAACCACAGCACAGAATATATCAAATCACTGACTGGAAAAGCAAACCGGGATTCGGTAAGAGGCAAAGCCAAGGGAAGAGAGAGCACCATCACCACCACCATCCATCTTCTTTCGCTTCTTCTCTTCTTTCTTCCTCCCCTTCCCCCCTCTCCACGCACCACCTATACTGATACCGACCCAACAACGTATAACGTAACAAATTACTATTGTCGGATATGTGTGTTTCGAAAGCTGACTAAAAAATTGGACAACAAGAACAAGAACAAGAATTTATTACTTATACAATACTATATTTCAATATTAAACTTTATCAACTTATATAATGTTATATTATATTATATTATATTATATCAATATCACATCAATATTATATCAAATAAAATTAAGTTACTTTGGTACCACTTTATTAAAACCCTCTTCGTATTACTCGCTATACATTGGTTCGAACAGAAACCTGGTTTAGCATTAGACACTATAGATTTTGATTTTGATTTTGATTTTGAATTTGAATTTGATTCCAATTACTGCTTCAAATCATATATTGTTCGACTGTACACTAATCTGAATACTATTTTTTTTACTAGGTCCAAACTGTTGTTGAACATTGATTATTATATTATAGTTTGTAATTACGAATAACAAATTTATAACAGAAGTAACAATAAGAACAACGGCATTAGTAATAAAGTCTCCCTCTTATTCTGCCCTTCTATCTGGTATCCTCTCTCACTCTTTTTTTTAACAAGGTCTAAAGGTGTCAAAGTTTTTGGTTTCCCTCCTACAGTAAGAATTATTCTGCACTATTTTAATAACAATATTACTGGACTCTGCTTTATATATATATAATTATATATATATAGAAGTTTTTTTTTGAAGATTAAAAAAAAGATGAATACGTTTGCCAGTTCCAGTGCTGATCTACAAAATACAACCACCGAAAGAATTGATCTTGATCTTGATCGTGATCATTCATCTCTTTCAAATTTTAATGAATCTGCCCCATTCCTACCTAGTTGCAATATCAATAATGGAAATAATAGCATAAATTTCGATTTAGAAAATAATAATACTAATAGCGATAACACTGGCATTGATAATACTAGAAATCATGATATAGATGCCCAATCAAATAGTAATTTAATTTCACAAGATAATAGCAATATTAATGATATTGAAAATGGCACCAACATTAATAACAATAATAATGATAACGATAACGATAGTAACAATAATGGAACAATCAATAATTTACGCAGTAGGATGAACAGACAAATAAGTTCAATAGGAAGACATTTCAATATCCTTGATCGATTATTTAATAAGAGAACCATTGAAACTTCCCAACATGGTGCTAGCTATGATGGTGTATTTAGTAATTTAACTGCAAAACCAAATGGTTTGGGCAATGAACCTGCAGAAGAAGACATACCTCCAACTTATGAATCTGCTGCAAATGATATGGTCCCTTCTTATTATGGTGTACATACTGAAGGTTCAGCAATGTATTACGACGAAATCTGTATTGAAGGTTTACCTGTAGGAAATGTTGCAAATTTAATTTGGAATATCGTTGTAAGTACAAGTTTCCAATTTATTGGATTTTTAATTACTTATGTTCTACATACTTCTCATGCAGCAAAACAAGGTTCAAGGTTTGGTTTAGGTTTGACATTCATTGGTTATTGTTACTCAATGTTACCAAATGATGTAACTTCAAAAGTTGGTAAAGATAAATCAATCGATAGAATTCAAGTAGAAGATCCGAACGAGTTTGATAATCTACAAATAAACCCACAAACTGCCCAAATTGATAATTTTAAATCCAACCTAAGTCACGGGTGGAAGAGGAAAAGAAGAAAATACCATTTTTAGGTATCGTGGTGGGTTAATTGGGGTTATACATATCAATTAAAAGTATTTTGGATTATGTCAAAGTAAAGAGAATGGAAAATAAATACTTAGCACAAAGTCAATCGTGATTTTGAATAGGGTGGTAAATTTAAATCCGAAAAATAAAAAATTATCATAGTATATTACTATTTTTTTGCATTTTAGATTATCAAAATTCATATTGAGGAATCTACAACTTTATAAAGAAATTGTAGAATAATGAAAATAATCATAATTTTTTATCTACAAAATCTAGACGTATGACATTGAACATCAAATGATGGACGGGTTATACATTTCATCAAATGAAATTTTTAGCATCGAAAGGTAATCTCTGATACCTTAGTGGTATTCGTCTAATTACTGGGTATATTACATTTCCTTTTTTTTAAAATTATATCATACGTACTTACATATACACATATACATACACATTTACGTACATACGTACATACCTAAATTAAAATACAATCAATGTGAATGTATCTCTTTAATTTGCTTGATTTTTATAATCAATAGAAATTAAAATTTACATCAAATTAGTAATCTATATTTTTACACTGAATATGGTCTATAAATTAATAAAGTTTATTCACAGATAATACTACCATTTTTTGACCAGATTAATGATTTAGAATATCAAAAGGAAGCCAAATAACTCGAATAATTTAGAAGAATTTCGAAAAATTAATTATCAAAAATTATAATTAACTTGAATATGATGATATATCGATATTCTTATCTAAACTGTGAGTAGTATCTTTCTTCAGAAAATCTTTTTTCTACCATATCCAAGGCTTCCTTAGAATATACTTCTATTAATTTTTCATTACCATTCAAAACCCTTTTTTCATGCTCTTGTTGTTCTTCTTTAGTCATCAATACAACATTTTGTAATGAAACTGGTTGTTCTGGATCCCACTTTGATAAAGTTAAACGGGTCGAGAAGCCACTGATTGGAGACTTACCTCTAAATACTTCTTCCACAATGTATGGAACTTCTCTTAATGCAATTGGAACACGTTGATCAGGCATATTAATTCTAGTCATTTGACCAGCTAGAGTTTGATAAATACCATCGTAAATTTTAATTCTATTTTTACCCTCAATTGGTTCCATTGGATAACCTGAAACTTTTGTTAAAACCCATGTTGCTATAGTTAAACCAAATATACCAGGCATAGTACCTAATACCGGCAAAATTCTTACACGGAAGTCCTTTAATACACTTAATTCATCAACTTTACCCTTCTCATATTCATTATCAGGAAGTGGTAATAATTTTGCCTTTCTTGGGTCTGGTTTTTCAGCACTGAAGACAACTGGTATACCTGTATTTATTCCTCTTTTCTTTAATCTTCTTCTAACGGAACGAGCCAATGGATCTTCTTCTGTAACAGTAATATCAGCTACATTCATTCTCGTTGGATCACTTTTTGTAGATGCACCACCAGATGAAATCATTTCAATTTTATTGATATATAGATATTCTAATAAATCAACCTTTGTATCAATATTATCAATACAATCAATTACAATTGTAGGTCTACCATTTGAGAATATCAATCTTTCTGCATTTTCTAAAGTCCATAATTCATTAATGGCATCAATTTCACACCAAGGAGCAATTTCTAATAAATGATTTTTCAAACAATTTACCTTTGGTGTACCCACATCCTTTAAATTTGCACAACTATGTCTGTTTAAAGAGCTTAAAGAGACTTGATCAAAATCTATCACTCTAATTTTTTGGCAACCAGAACGAACTAGCATTGTGACAACCCAAGAACCAACACCACCAGCACCTACGACAACGATGTATTGATCTTTTAATTTTTGCATACCTTCTTCACCTAAGAAAGCGTAGTTACGAGCCAATTGTTCACGAAACAAATCATCATCATAAGATTTTTTAGTACCGTTAGTCAATTTTTTGACGTTAGTGCTAGCATTATTTGAATTTAATTTAAGATAATTCCATGCTAATTCGATACCTTTTGTAAAAGCTATTGATAAAATAGCTGTGGCAGAGATAATTTTCCATGTATCTTTTGACATCGCTATTATCAATAGAATGTAAGCTTTCCAAAGTTAGCAATTCCTTTATTCGAGATATCTCTCTGTATATATTTGATATGTATATAAATATATCACGAGTACAAATACAAATACAAGTACAAACACAATTACAGGCACAAGCATAAGAATGTGTTCATTACTGAATATATAATCTAATCATTTAATATTGTATATGTGATTATTTGATTCAGCTCAGCTAGCTCATCGCATTAGTAAAATTTTCATAAATTTTTCAAAAACTTCTTAACCATAATTTAAACAAAAAAAAATTAAAAAAAGAAAAGTTAAAAATAAAAAAGAAAGTTGGTATTATCATTTTTTTGTCACTCCTCTGCTCTGGTTTATATGCCAGAAACAATAGATAGTCTCTTCAAAATGTGAAAACTAATAAGAATGCCAAGCCAAAGAGAAGAGAGGCCAAAAAACAAAAAAGAAAAGAGAAAGAGAAAGAGAAAGAAAGAAATTCTTACCAGTAAACGTAGATCCAATTCTCACAGGCTGTATGACGACGGTAACCCTTAACACATATCGTTGATATCTTGTCAGAAAGATATAACAGCTGAGATTTGCAACCTTCAGGTATGCATACGTACGTACATACATAAATATCTATATCTATATTGATATCCCTATAATAAAAACAGAATAAGGTAACATATGAAAAAAGTAGTGATACAACGTTGATTACTCACCTAATGAGTCTTAAAATTATTAAAGTAAAATATATTATAATATAAGGTGATACAATACAATATATTAATTAGCCTTGTATTTTGAGTCAGATTGTACCATTCCATCCGTTTAACGTTTTGGAGAGGTGTCGGGAGATCCGTTAACTGAATTGGGTGACTTGACCTCTACACCTTCCCTAATATGTTCAATAGGAGATCAAATTTGTAAAACAAGAAGTAAAAAAGCAAAACACATAAAAAAATAAAATGCTAAATGCAAATTTTATCATTGTAACTTTGAATTAGGGATAACTGGGTGATATTTGTGTCATTTGTTAAGTTCACTGGTTCGATCTCTTTCTCCCTCTATTATTTTTTTCTTTCCCTGCCCGTTCGTTCTTGTTCAAAGAGGGTCAGTTTTTGGGTCAATTTCAATGGAAACAATGGAAACTTCCCGGTACCGGTCATTCGCGGAAAAACTTCATTGGATCAAGTTGGCTAAATTAATTCGATATGGTATATTCCAAAAGAAGTAATAAAGCGGAAAGATTCGGAAAAGGGGGATTACAAACAGCTGCTATACAGATATGAATAAAAAAAGATTGTTTGTTTTCTTGAATGAGTTAAGGTATATACAACAATGGTAGAATGTTCCACCACAACAAGTGAAATGCGTACCTACTACTTTTTTGTCATCACATGACTTTTTTCGACCTCTTTTGCGGTCCATCAGAAGCTAGTTACAGACAAATCCCGCAGCTTCCTTGGTGCACGACCGGGCGGACAACTTTCTCAAAAAGGACATTTACTATGAGGGCATGTTTTTGACCTTGCTGCCCATCCATGCCTAGTTTGAAGTGTCTCTTCTCTATTTGTATATATGCCATGCACACTTGCATATATGCGTCCGTGGTAGACATTTTACTCCGTCGGATTAATCCCTGTGATTTCCCAATCGGGTATTTGACATATATCTAGATTTTCCTAAATATTCCGAGAGACTTTTTCATGGAAAACGCAAAAACTGGAAATAAAAAAAGCAAGTAATTAAAGAGCCTAAGTTTTGTGTTATCTTCCATTATTTAGTTTAGTAGTCTATATGGGAATCTCTACTCTGGTTCCGGCAACTTGCCCAAGGCAACATAACATGATGAAATGAACTCTGTCGGTGTTGGTCGGAAGAGAAACCAAAACTTTCTTTAACCTAACTACCCGTTAACGCTAATACCTTTAATCAAAGAAGCTTAGCAACAACAACCAGAGCCAAACCATAACATTTCTTGAGAACTCTACTACAACACAACACAACGCAACTTGTCTTTTTTATTTAACTCTTTATTTTTTTGGGACAAGTTTGATTCTAGTCCATTCAAATTAGTTCTTGCCTTCAACCTTCAACTAACTAGAGACCAAGAAATGATGAAATTCAGCAATAATTACTTGTTCTTCCGATCCTTTTTCTATATCGTCTACTAGCTGTTGTTTTACTGATTTTTATGCGTTGAATGAACTTCAAAGTATAAACCTGTCGTTCTTCACTTTAACGTAACAGAAATTGTTTTTGTTATGTTCTCTATGCAAGAATTGACTAATAAAAAATATTACAAAATAACTGTATTTTACGTATATTTATATATACCTCATCGCCAACTATTATTAACTGATTGATTTATTGCTTGATCGATTGCTGGCTTGTCCCTGTCTTGTATATTTTCCTCCATTCACCTAAGAACTACAATCCCAGTGGTTCTTATGAAATATGTAGATAGAATAGATCAATGGCAGGATTTCTTGTTCACAGAGGTCTATACATACATGAATACAGAGAGAGAGAGAGAGAGAGAGATTCTGATTGTGTGTCCGTGTACTTCCACTATTCAAATGTTTCCATCTTTTCATCATTCCAAATTTCCCTCTGAATATCTTCCTTTTTCGCTTTTGATCTCTGACTCATTCACCTTTTGGCAGAGTTATCAATATTTTTTTTTCACATCTCTTTCTGTTCTTGTGCTTGTGCTTGTGCTTGTTCTTGTGCTTGTTCTTGTTCTCGTCCTCATCCTTTTGTTATTTCTTTTCAGACAGTCTCTTCATCATTTTCATCTTCAGCGTTAAAATATATTCATTATTTGAAATGTTATATATTATATGCTATCGGCTAAGCTTGGTGTTCTTGCTGCAGTTTTGACTAATAGGTTGTAGAAGAAATCGATGATGCATATTTTAATCAAACAGACCCTCCACAGTATAATTTACTATCGGTTTTATAGTCTCTTATTCCTATTTTGAATTGGGTTAGGTTGGATTAATTTTTTTTTTTTATCAAATTTCTATTTTACTTGATAATTTTCATTAAACCTCACTCTAATTATTCATTCGATTTGTATATAAGGACTGCATATCATATCTAATTATTCCTTATTGACTAGCTCCTTGATCAATCCTTGTTTATCAAATCTTGTTCTCTTGATTAATATTTTTTTTATTTTTATTTTTATTTTTATTTTGGAACATTCTGTCCCATCTCATCTCATCGAATCCAAGATCTTTCGTAGATTATAGTCATCGTCGAAATAGTCATATTTCTGTCTATATATTAAAATTTAAGGGAACACATACAATCTTCAGTCGGCTTCACAATTATACCTTCACCGGCAAGTATAAACTATAAATTATTAATAAAAATGCTTAGTTCAAATTCAACTCTGATGATGAAAAGAATTAAATTCAAAAATATCCGCTGTTTTAATTCAATTACAAATAAAAATAATGCATCCACTCTAAGAGATTCAAAATTTAACCATACTCATAACCAGGACCAATCAAAAGATTTTACAAATTTAGGTTCAAAACCAAAATCAATCTTCGATGAATCAAATAATTATTTACAAAATGAAAAGAATAAAAAAAGTTCATCACCAAATCTATTGGTAAATGGCCCAATCGAATGTAATTTAACGGGAATAAATTTATTAAACTCGCCATTATTTAATAAAGGTACTGCTTTTACTGAAGAAGAAAGAGAAAAATTCGAGATTTCTGGTTTATTACCACCTCAAGTTAATACTTTAGATGATCAATTGGATAGAACGTATAAACAATTACAAAAATTAAGTTCACCAATTGAAAAAAATGATTTCATGACAACTTTAAGAACTGAAAATTCTGTTCTTTATTATGCAATGATTAAAAAACATGTAAGAGAATTAATACCAATTGTTTATACACCTACTGAAGGTGACGCTATATCATCTTATTCTCATAGATTAAGAAAATCTGAAGGTTTATTCCTAGATATCACTGATCCTGACAGCATTGATAAAAGATTAGCTAATTACGGTAATGCTGAGGATTTAGATTATATCGTTGTTTCTGATTCTGAAGGTATCTTAGGTATCGGTGACCAAGGTGTTGGTGGTGTTCGTATTGCAATTTCAAAATTAGCTTTAATGACTTTATGTGGTGGTGTTCATCCTGGAAGAGTGTTGCCTATTTGCTTAGATGTAGGTACAAATAATAAAGAATTAGCCCGTGATGAACTATATACTGGTAACAGATTCTCAAGAGTTAGAGGTAAAGAGTATGATAATTTTGTAGATAAATTTATTAGAGCTGTAAAAAAAAGATTCCCGAAGGCAATTTTACATTTTGAAGACTTTGGTGTCACTAATGCTAGAAGATTATTAGAACGTTACCGTAATGAATTACCATGCTTTAATGATGACATTCAAGGAACTGGCGCTGTCGTAATGGCGTCATTATCTGCCGCACTGAAACATACAAAAAGAGATTTAAAAGATGCAAAGATTATTATCTATGGTGCAGGTTCTGCCGGTGTAGGGATTGCTGATCAAATTGTAAACCATATGTGTACACATGGGTTATCCATTGATGAAGCCAGATCAAAAATCTATCTAATTAATAGAAACGGCTTAATATTGAAATCCCATTATGATTCACTATATGAAGCTCAACGTAAATTTGTTAAATTAGATGAAGACTGGGAAGGTGTCGATACCAAACAATTATTAAATATTGTGAATAAAGTTAAACCAACCTGTTTAATCGGCTGTTCTACACAAGCAGGTGCATTTAGCGAACAGATTGTTAAAGAAATGCACAAATATAATAGTAGACCAATTATTTTCCCATTGTCAAACCCAACCAGACTCCATGAAGCTGTTCCAGAAGATCTAATGAAATGGACAAATAATGATGCGTTAGTTGCTACTGGTTCACCATTCAAACCAGTAAATGGCTACCGTATCTCTGAAAATAACAATTGTTTCTCATTTCCAGGTATTGGTTTAGGTTCAATGTTGGCTCGCGCAACTGTTATATCTGATACCATGATCTCAGCAGCAGTTGATGAATTAGCGTCTTTATCTCCATTGGAAGAAAATGATTCTAAGCCAGGTCTACTACCACCATTGGAAAGCATAACAGAAACATCAGCCAGAGTTGCCACTGCTGTCCTACTACAATCAATAAAAGAAGGCTCTGCTCGTATCGAACTTGAAGGTACTGAAATACCTAGAGATTTTGATGACTGTTTAGAATGGGTTAAATCTCAAATGTGGAAACCAGTCTACAGAGATATGGTCAGAGTATAGTTTAGAGGATAAAAATAAAAACTAAGTTTCTCGAAATAAATACTTCAATTGATCAAAAATAAAAAATATTCTATCATCCTTTTTTTCTTGCAAATGACCGCCAGTAGTTTCATAATTTTTCACTAAAATATCTAATATATCTTATAGAGTAAATAATTAATTTAATTAAATCATATCGTGATTTTTTAAAATGTTTTTTAAAGACTATCCAATATTAACAATAAATCAATAAGGTAGCAAGTATATCATAGATCCATACATGATCATACTAGTATTATTGATAAAACATTGTAACATATATTGTACTTGTTTCTTGAGTAGAATGTTATGAGGTGGAAAAAATAGAAATATTTTTTGCTTCATTTAGAAGGTATCAATCCAATAGATAAAATAAATACTCGGTATTGAACTGAGTTCTTCTATGATTTTACTTGTTCCTAATGTAAATTTGTTAAAATATGTTCAGTCCAGTTTGAAGCAACTGTTGTCTTTCATATTAGCTAAAAATCATTAAAGTCTGACCAATGAAAAAAAAACAATACTTATTTGAAATAAACTGTGACAGGATCTCTCCCATCTAAAAGAACTTTAACAATCGTTGTTATAGGAATTGTTAATTCAGTGGTCTTTAATATAATTTCCAACACTTGTCAAAAATATTAATAATTAATTTTTATAAATTGTTATCGCAATAATTTATTAGAATATTGAAAATGAAAAAAGACATGGTTTTATAAGCAACGAAAATTTCTTTTCAATCATATAATAAAAATTAATAAAACACCATAGGGTCTCTATCATATCAGAATAACCATTTAGGTTATTACTGGTAAAGTAATTGCATTATTTTTTCTTCTTCTATTGATATAAAAGTTATATCTTTGAAATTATTTTTATTCCAATAAAGCAACAGAGAGTTTTTAACTCACTTTACTGTAGTTCAAATTTATCTTATATCCATAATGAAAAAATCTAGAGCATATTACAGTTCCAATGTTGAATTAGGACTAGATGACATATGATCAACCAGAATAGTGATGGTGATTCTAGATATCATATCAAAGTTATTTTTTTTGTACTAACACAATACAATCACATTAAAACTGGGAGAATAAAACTTCAAAAATAAAAATACTGTTAATGAAAAAAAAAACACGTCAAATGAGCAACTAGTAATTATAGAGCAGCTACATCACATATATGCCTGGTCAGTTATCGAAGCTGCTCTTTTAAATTCTGTTAAGAATAATAATAGTAAATCTTCAATCTATTGTTTCATGATTATTATATTGTATCGTATATCAATTTTAATAATATTAGGCTCTCTTATTGACTGAGAAACAAATCCCAAGGGAAAGGCACATAATAGTTAAAAAAGTAGCAGCCAAAATACGAGAAGTTGGTATCAAAAGGCATACTCAATTGTTGATATGTAGATATGGATAGGTTATCATTAATCAAAGTCAATATTTGACCACATAATTAAATTTTATGTTGACAACCAACAGAATAAAAACAAACAAATAAGCAATTGACAGTCACCCAATGCTTGAGTTAGTCGGTTCCTATTCACCAAGGATGAAACATATTTTTTTTGTAATGATCATTGTTGTTTAAATTGATAATTGTAATAGACACAATCATTATGACAGACGGTTTAAAATATGTAAAAAAAAAAAATGAAAAAAGTATAGCATACAGCAGAATAAAAAGGTGAAAAGAACACAATAGTGCCTGCTAACCTATAATCATCTTTTATGGCTAATAATATTAAAATTGCCTTTTGTTAAATATTAATAGCAACCTAAAGAGCTTTAAATTTTCGAAAGCAAAAAAAATATAATTCTAAAACACCTAAAAATTTCGAGGAATAATAGAAGAACTAAACTAATCCAATTATAACATTGGATATAATTAAATCCATAACATCTCCTCAAAATTTAATGCCACTAGACATGGTCCCTTTAACAATCATTAGGTATTTATAGCTTCTAAGACCCAAATTTTTTCTTTCTTTTTTTTCTCTTTTTCATAGTATGCTAGACTCTTAGTTAGTTTTGTATAATACAATACACCAGACACTTTTATATTCTAATATCACGTCTTAATGCTCAAATCATTGGTAATCATTGTCTTGTAATCATCAATGTCTCTATAACAATCAAATACTACATGTATAGGTTCCCAATAGGTTTGCTTGCCTGCCTGATTTCCTAGCACAAAAACAAGAAAATTCGAAATCCCAAAAAAATAATTCGAAATTCCTGAAAACTCATCAGGTGAAATTGGAACTGATTTAAAGACACCACCATTAGAGCATTAGCCTTTTATTCACAGTTTATAATCTATATTGACCATTATTATTTTAGAAAACAATGAAAAAAAAATATTATTGATCTGTTCTAACAGATATCATATAATAATAGATCACAAAACCAATTTTTTTCTTTGCCTATAATTCCAAATATATCAATTGCTATAGTTATAATCCATCAGCTAATATTAATTAATATTTCGAATAAAATAGTTTATTCCATCTAAATTTTTAAAATTTTATTGACAAGCAAAAAACTAGATGGTTAGATGATAAAAAATATTTGTATTAATGTCATAGCTGTAACTTTGTATAAATCAATCATGATTATTTTTTCTTAAATTTTTTTGAAGCTGATATACTAGTCCTATTAATAATTATAGTAATAGTAATATGAAACATTTTCAAAAGGTGAAATGCAACCATACTGCAAAAAAAGAAGATATGAATTTTATTGGGTCTATTTTTTTTGTTGCTTCTTTATATGCAATTTAGTGTGTCTATTCAAATTACTTTTAACGTTAAAAGTTTTATTACAACCTTCCCATTGACATTTATATGGTCTTGCATTGGTATGAATAAACATATGAGAATGAAGTGAGCTGGCCCTGCTAACAGATTTGCCACAAACAGGACACTGATATGATACCTGCTTTTTCTCTTTATTTGGGTACTGAAACATATTTTTTTGATCTATGTCACCGCTTGATCCAGTTGATCCAGTTGAACTAGATGATTGTTGTAATTGGTGTAAACTATAAGTTCTAACAAAATTATGGGTTAACCAATCCATAACCATTGAATAATCATGGGACTGCATCAAGTTCGAAAGAGTGGATTCAACGGTTTCTTCCAGTCCTTTTAAATCAGATTCACTCTTTTCTTCAGAAGTGTCTCCTATTGTATTTTTATTCAACTTCTGCGAACTACCATTGTTAGTACTATTACTTTGAATATTATCATTCCTAAACCCATCTCCATGGGAACTAATTTTAGAGTTACAATCTGTGTCGTTATGCCTGTTCACCATTGATTCCATTCTTTCTCCAGTCTCAACTATATCCAATTTGCTCACATAGTCATTTATCTTCATACTTCTCTCTTCTTCTCTGGATGGTTTTAAATTGGGTATCATATGTGATCCACTACTCATGTCTTTAGTAGATGATAATCCATGATGTCCAAATGATTGGGAATGATTCGGAAGGTTGCTGAAATTTGCCAGTAAGTTACCATAATTACTATTCCTTTCAATTGATTGATTATCGTTGAGAATGAATGGAGAATTCATCACAGGTGAACCCGATAGTGACGGAAACATAATTGGTAGCTTTTGTTTCATTATATTAGGTCGAACTTCACCGACGTTTTGAAATTTTATATCTTCCAGACTCAGGTGATTCTTATCCATGATACCTGAATCATAATTAATGCCAGTTTGGAATCCGGGTTCAATAATATTATTGCGATGACTGTTATCAATTGTTTTCCTTCTTCTAATCAAGTGAGGTTTCATGGGGCCATTGCAGTCGATACTATGGTTACTAGAAAATTCACCACATGAAGAATTATTTCTATAATGCATGTTGCTATTATTGTAATTTTGATATAGCATTTGATGTGAATTACTTACCTTAGAATTCGGATTTGGCAAATTACTCGTACTAGATATGCCATTCGGAAGTTGAATTGAGTCATTATTGACAAGTTGAAATATTTTTGAATTATTGATGTTGTTTGAAGTACTATCATGGTTGTAATTTGTTCTATTAGTTATGGTATTATTTGTGGGGTATATATTGGATGGCATACAATCCCCAGATTTGGGTAACCCTCCTGAAATATTCGAGACATGAGTGGGAGATCTGGATAAGTTATTTGTGTTATTATAATTGACATTGAATGGAGTGGAGTTTTTAGGAATTATTGAAGTATTTCTTAATGAATCAATATCAGCATTTTTACCCTGATGTTGCGTAAAATACTTATCATCGAATGGGTTTCCATTATTCATTATATTGTTATATTCAGAGACTATCGTTTTCTCTTTGTACTTTTTTTAATGTTGAAAAAAAAATATAAACACTCCTAATAATGACAGTATTAATCCCAAAATGTATTTTATTCGAATAAAAAAAGAAAATATGAATTTTATTGCACGATTCAATGTCCAAAAGATCTGTTAAACTCTAAAATATTAAATTCAATATATGGTTTCAGCTTGAGTATTTATTATATGTTTTTTTCCTTCTTTGAAGCAGTCAGAAATTTTTCCATTGACTAACGACCCCAGAGCAATTGAAGCTCTTAGTATTAACAAAAAAAATATCCAACCTCTCCTGCTCTTAGAGATTAATTTGCTTTATTGAAAATGAAATGAAAATTGATGGGCTTCGTAGTTGTCAGGTCTCTATTAAATGAACAACAATAAACTCAATTAAGACCTAAAACGTAATAGAGAGAATACAAATAATAATAAATATGGAATGCTAGATTGGTACTAAACAAAAATAAATGAAAATAAAGTAATAAAAAAAAAAATTCGACTATGCCAGTACTTCTAGAACTCTAAATCTCTAAAGAGTATTTTATTCCAAAATAGCAATGCTTTAAACAAAGTATCAAATTTCAATTCCTATTGATTTTTTTAAATTTGGTTATAGTTGAACTTATCTTGACGTCAATCCACAGAATAACTACTGCTTTCTGGAGAAATGAAATTAACCAAAATATAAAACAAAAAACTAAAGGACACAAAAATCCAACTACTATTCCATATATCTCGACCACTTCCACCACCAACAACAACAAAAGATAATTAATCAAAGAACTCCAGATCAGACTATAATTACTGTTGTTAAATATATATGTTTTTCTCTTCCTCTGATTTCGATTTCGTTTTCGATTTCGATCTTGATTTCGAATTTAATTTTAACCTCAACACCAAGTTCAATTCGATAATGTCTTCTATCTCAAACAGTGGGTGAACTCTCTAAGCTATATTTTATTTGATCAAAAATTTGAATAAATCAGAATAAATTGAATCAAATCAAATCAAATCAAATTAAATTAAATTAAATTCAGTCCACTTTAGTTCAATTTAAAAATAAACAGCAGAACCGTATCCTAGTGACAAAGCTACAATTACAATTACAATAACTATTCCTACAACTAAAAACTATATTATTATTGTATAATTATTACAATTATCGTATTATTGGTACTGATGGTATTAATGGTACTATTGTTATAGGAAAAAAAACCAGATTTACTAACAGGAAGAGGAGCTTATAAGAAAAAGGAAGGAACTAACTATATTCTCTTCTGTCTCGAAATCGATATTATTAATCCGGAATTTCTCTGGAAAGAAGTGAATTCGAAGTGAATTCGAAGTGAAATAGAAGAAGAAGAAGAAGAAGAAGAAGAAACGTAAAAAACAAAATCACAACTAGCAATTGTAACTATAATTGCAACTGTAACTGTAATTGTGACTGCAACTTCAACAACTATTTCAGTTAGATCTCGAGGAATTGAGGATTTCTAGCTGTGTTAATGAACTGAATTGTGTCTTCTAAGTCGGATTGATGTAGAACTGTAGGATTGTTCGATGTCTATTCGTGTGAATATGTTTTTATGATAGATATACACTTTTTATTTTATATCGAGCCAATTCAGTTGGCTATTAATATGAAATATAAGAAAAAGAATTATTGTATCTATTTGGGATGAGGGCAAAAAAAAATTGAATATAGTTGTGGTGCTATTCTAATTTAGTATACCGAAAATGACAACAACGATGGATTACTTAAAAGACATATAATAATAGTAATAATCACAGTATCAATATCAATGTTAATAGTATTAGTATTAATCGTAATGAAAATATAATTGCTAGTACACAATAATAGAATACGGATTTATAATAATAATAGTACTGTTAATGTCTTTCCTTTCTTAGATTTTAAAAGTTATCAATCAATTTGATGCATGAAAGAAAAAAACACACACACAACTGTAAAGTCAAAAAAAATATTAATAATTGATGCTGGACAGACTGACTTGAACTCACACAGATATATCTGCAAGTATCAATTGAATTGAATTTCACTATTATTTGTAATACCTATAGCTCAATTTGGTTTATTCAACTGCTAGAATTTTTAAGCCTGTTTAATTTATCGAGTAATGTCGATTGGGTTGAATTGAATTCCAAAGAACAAGACAAAAAACTAATTATGGAAAATAGACATCAAGTTTAGTAAAAAAAAATAAATCAAGATTCCAATTTGGAAAGAACTTTATCAATCTGCTTCCTTTTTATTTTATTTTATTTTTATTTTATAATGCTTTTTCAGTTCGAAATGAAATTAAAAGAAGTCGATTGCAAAATAGAGTTTTAAACAATATTTTTTTTAAAAAAAATAATTGGCAAGCTAGCTAATACGATTATTCCCTTCCAGTTCAATATCATTTACTCTTGATTGCCATTGACAATTTGGAAAATATACTACATTTTATTTTTATCTTCTACGTTTTGAAATGAAACGAACTGTAGTATTCAATTGTTTGCTGGAAACATATCCTCATTTAACAATGTTTTAATCTCCGTTTGTGTCCCTCCTTTTTTGTTTTGATTCAATGGAAAAAATCATAACAGATTTCTACTCTTACTAAAACAAAAGAAAACCAATGCTAAATTCAGTACGTGACTTTTGTTATTATAACTTTGGTCACGTTCGATTTATATTAGAGTGCCTTGATTATCTATCAACATCATAAAAAAAAGTCATGGAGAATTATAATAGAATAATACTGCTATTGTCTACCCGATTAGATACAAATGATGCCAGATCTTTTACCACAATTACTAGTGTTGCCTTAGTCTAATATTATTAATTTTGCTTGAGGAATTAAATTTCTATCACCCATGCCAGTGTGCCCAAATTTTATTATTATTTCTATCCCACATCGATCAATTAAATTAATAAAGAATCTATTTTTAATATCGACTTTAAACTACTTTTTTATCCTCAAAACTGATAGAATTGCTCATTTAAATTCAGTTACACCCAAGAATATATTGATATAAATGCTCTTTGAATTGAGTAAATTCAAATGAACACCCTTCTTCAATTTGGATTTAAGCTATTTTTTATTTTGCAGCACTGCTTTGAGGCCGTATATGCCTAAATATTATGCGTATGTGTGAATATCCAAGGTTTACTTTGTTTTATTGTAATTTAGTGAAGAATATATCGTTTATTAGGTCACCCAAAAGGAATTGAAAAATCATGAGATCTAGTTGATGTCATCATATTAATCAAATCGATCAATTTGAATAGAAGTAACGAAAAATAGATAAATAAACTTAAATTGCCAAATAATTTTTGCACAATTACCTAAAAAATCTCTGAATTTCATTGAAAGCATTTCTAAAGCAAAAAAAGATAGGTATATGTGTGCTTATACTAAATTGACTATAGAGTATTATAAAAAAAATTTTTTTTCTTAAGATATTGAATAATATTGTATGTAGGTGGCCCTGTAAGTAACGGAATAATATTGGGAAAAGCAAAAGATATCTTCCTGTCTTAAAATTTGAAATTATAATAATACCACAACTACCCAGCTAAAAGAAAACAACCGGAGAATAAGATATCTTTATTATGTTGGGTTGTAACTTCCTTTCCCTGCTTTAAATAATGCGACGGTTTCTCCCGTATTTGTAACTATTGACATTTTTTAGTAAGAACAATATTATTAGTACAGAAAAGTAAGGGGGAAAAAGAACCACAACTAATTATTGTGTGTATTAGGCACAAAATTGATTGACTGATGCCATAACTCGTATCCCAATTTTATTAGATAAGATAGACAATATCGAGAATCCTGGACTGACGATAAAAAGCAACAATAATAATGAGAACCACTAAAAAATCAATGCAACTACTCTCTATTTTAAATCAGTCGCAACCGATTTTTTTTTTTCAAATGAACAAATAACTACAATGATCTGGTCAATTAACTACAAAAATATGGGTCATCTTCCATCTTAAACTAAGCGTCTTTTGTTTGTGTGGTAGAGCTTAAAATGATAATAATAATAATAGTAAATAACCTAGTTGCCTATAATATGCTTTGGATTAATATTTATAGATTACCCATTTAGATTTCGGGTTCCTACAGAGATCTTACTGAGAGTTACTAACAGACGGATTTTTTAAGAATTGCCCAACCTAACTTAGCTTAGCTGAGCTTGACTGGTCCACATAAAAAAAAAAGAAGGCTCGGGATTTTACAGACATGACAATGTGAAGCTGATTTATACTGGGAAAATTTTTTTGTTATTACTACTGCCAGTACTACTATGATTATTGTACTCCTCCGTTAACTTCGTTAGTAACACATGAATTATACTATATATATGATTTAAGAATTCGACAACTGGGTGATGCCCTGCCCAGATATCATAGCAACGATGCCCAGATTATTAAATGAATCCAACAAGAAAGAAGCACGACCAAGAGTGAGTAGGCAGTTCCTAAAGGAAAAATAAAACATTTAGAAATAGAAATAATAACATTTTGTGGCTAGCAAAGTATTAACTTGCAATATGCGCCGGAATTACAGATGCACTCTACTCTTTAATCTACCTACACAATTGGATGCAAATTTTCTTCAATGGTGTTCAATTAAAAAAAATACTTATAATAATAATTGATGCTCTCTATGCCTTATAAATTTACTCTATATCAGCTTCAGAAACTGTAATTTGGGAGGGGAGAGAAAGCAAGCTATCAGAATAGCATCAGGCACTGATTGAATTAGGAAAACCCAAACATGTTATAGTTTTTTTTATAAAGAATATAAAATTTGCAATTGTAAAGGTACATTTCCTTTTTACAATTACCAAAATGAGATTGGAAGGGATAGATCAATGCTAGTGATCAATTGACCTCTCACTCACCCAACAACATAAAACAAGGACTCAACAAACTAATCCCATTTCAAAAATAAAGAAAAGAGAATATATCACAACATAACAAAATAAAATTATTATTACATTCCTTAATCCTCGTTAGACACTTCAAAGTGGAATAGTTAGAAAGCCTTGAATTTGAGAGTATTTCAATTTCTATCAATTAAAAAATACCAGAGAAAGAAGATGAGGATGAAGAAGAAGAAAAGCAGACGGTCAATAAGCACTGCAAAAGTTGATGTGACCCGAATGTGGCTTTTATTCTAAATTAATTAAAATCTATTTATGATGCATGATGTGTGTAATAACGTTGATATGCAGATTGAAAAACGTAATCCTGACGTTGCATCTTCCACTTCCCATTTAAGATAGCTGTTTCTTTTTTATTTCCAATTACAATTGCAATCAACCTTTTTTGATTTTAATTTATTTTCTACCCTCTTTTACCAGCAATACTAATAGCCAATTCGATTTTTTTTGACGTCAATTTGTTTTTTCCCATACAAGTCCAAGAGTAGCTGATTACAAAACGAGCCTCTAAAATATCGGAAGTTCATACATTGAAGAACATTATAAGAGAGATCCAAAAGGAAAAATAGTTCAAAAATAACAGCAAGATTGGGTATGGGTAAGAAGCAAGAAGCAAACAACCCAAAATAAGGATATTTTTATTATCAAATTTTTTTCTCTTTTAAGAGATTGAGTATATTTTGAAATAAGTATTAGAGTAAGATATCTTTAAAATGTGACATTGATTTGTTAATACTAGTTTCAGCTGCAAATACAACCACATTTACGATTACAATTACATACCTTGGAAAAGATAACAGGCATGACAGTAACTGATCAACTATGAATGTTTTTTTTTCTTTCATTTCTTTTTTGTTTCAGTTGATGGATGATATGCTTCGCTTAAGGAAAGAAATTACGTAACTGAAAATGATAATAATGCTTAAAAAATAATAATAATAATAATAATAATAATAATAATAATAATAATAGAAATTTTGGAATGAGCTGCTGTGTGATATCAATCCAAATTTTGATATTGATCCTCATAATTATTTTTTGTTTTAAATTTGGCTTTCTTTTGAAGGGGAAGGAAAAGTGCAGAAGGGATAGTCCCTATTAAATAAAATGAAAACAAATCAAGATTTTTTTTTCGTACTTTCTATTTTTAAATGTGAAATGAATTACTGATGAAATAAATTATCGAACCATTTTTCAGTTACCGAATTAAGTTTTGTGATCTTTCTTACTGTATATCATTTAATTTCCCTTTTGCTTGATGATTAAGACAGGATCAGGCGAACCCAACAAAAAAAAAGAAAAAGGTAGAAAAAAATGAGTTGTTATTGTTGTATTAACATTAAAATCTGTTATTGGTTGGTAGTGATAATAGATAGTTAGGGTTTTATATGCTATGAACAATTTTTTTTAGTTGTCTCTGTTTCCTTCTCTTCCTTCCCAGATTGAGCGAAACCAAGAAAAAAATATGCAATTGATGCATGAAATACATCTTGGAAGATGTATGAGTTGTTTGTAATTCAACACTACATTAAGATGTTGGATGGTTTTGATGGCCAGATTAATCGGAGAAATGACATCAAGATCAAGACTGGATTACAATTGTAGTGTACTGTGATGGGAGAAAACTTTTGTTAAAAAGCAGAAGGCAAAAAAAATAAAATCGTTGCCGTTGTTGTAGCCTAACAGAAATTTCCCCTGCTGAATGTGAGTGTAGGAGGAAATATGGAATGAAATCATATATACGTAGTTGTGAGCTGTGAATTCAATTCTATCCAATTTAGTTCAATTGAGTTCAGATCATATCATATCATATCAGATTGGAATAGATGGATGATTGATTGATTGATCGATAGCCTGAATAGAATAGTTTCCCTGAACTAGTTTACTTCACTTTCTTGTTATATATATGCATCTCCCTGAAGTTGTATTGTTTCTTGGATGGTTTAATTCTGTTGTGGGGAAGAAAGAGAAGAAGGTGAGGTAACATAAGCTGAATTGCAGTTATTGCTTTTTGTTTCGGCTCTATCCTCTCTTCCCTTCCGTGTTGTATTGTCATGAAGAGTATAGGATACAGTAACAACAAGAACAAGAACGAGAACAAGAACAAGAGCAAGAGCAAAATCGGATAAGCCGAGAGATCTATATAATAAAGTTTGCTAACATAAGCTGCCTAGAGAGCAACCCCTTGCACCTGATCAAAGGAACTACCGAATGACAGGGCGGAGAGAGCAAGGGGGAGGGGGGGGAACGGACATGGACAAAGACGTAGACACAAACACGGGTAACAACGACAATCACAGAAGTAGCAACAGCAACAGCAACAGCAACAACGAGAAAGAGAAAGAGAAAGAGAAAGAGAAAGAGAAAGAGAGGGAGACCGAGGGACCGGGAGATAACTGGAGAAACAAGCCGGAGATATGACAGCTCGACAGACAGAAGGACCTACCGATCTGTTCTTGCTCAGTCTCTAATTCTAAGTCTAAGTCTAATTCCGAATCAGGTAACAGATTCCCTCTGCGGAAAATACGTCAATACAGTTGCCAGATTGAGTAATTGTCGTTCAAGGGCAAACAAATCTTGCAGTCAGAACTGCGCATCGCGTCCACCACGTTTTTCATATCCCTTCACCTTTCTTCGTCTGACGCGATTTTTGAACAGATTGATTCTTTTCCGTCTGGCTTTTTACCCTGCTCAACACCTTGCTTCACTTTGTTTTGTTCTGCTGACTCGAGCAGCAGCAACAGAAATCAAGATCAACGACCTGTATTTGGCAGGCGATTGCGGAAACAAACAGCCAGATACCAAACTGGCAATGCAAAAAAAAAACAGATGATGCTATCATTGTCTTTTACAACGTTGCATTTACAAGATGGACCGTATTGTTGCCAAGTGAAAAAAAAATTTTTTTTGAAGTGACACACTACACTTTTTGGATCCACTGTTTTGTTATATAATATCTTACTCCCTCCCCCTTCCTTCCTTCCTTCCTTCCTTCCTTCCTAGTAATATCTGCTTGAACCTATACTCAATTAGATTAAAACCAGCTAACCCTTTCCAAAACGTTAGATTCTAGCTTATTAATCACAAATTTTGAATCTTGAATCTTGAATCTCAGATCTTGAATCCCTCTGTGCTACAACCGTAACCGAAACCGATAATTCTAAACCTACCACTGTCAGTGTTCTACTGCTCCCTCTCGCTCTCTTACCGGGGCATTCTCATTTTTCGTCATTGCAAAATTCAAAATTCAAAATTCAAAAAAATAAAAAGCAAAAAGCAAAAAAAGAAATTTACCAAGTTAATTTCGCATTTCCATTTTGGATAGATAGGTATATTGTTATTGTCTACTCAATTTCGAACTCAATTTCGAACTCGAAATCGATTATAGAAACTTTGGATAACCAACCCTAATCTTCTTTTTTTACATCTCGAGCATAAATATCCCATAACATGTTCAGCGTTACCATTATCACTTGGTTAAATCCCAATTGGTTTATTTAATTGATATTAGAAAAGAATACACCAATTCGCAGTCGTATGCCATTCTGATGGATACTTATTATTACTAATATAATCAATCACAGACATATAAGAGAGAGAAGTCAAGAAAAAAAAGACAAAACAACAAAAATTACATCAAAGCTTAAGGTTATCTCCCCATTTTACTAATGTCTGAGTTATTACATTTAGTTGATGTTGCGGAGAATATATTCCCAGAAACTTTAGAATTACTGAATGATAACTCATCCACTAGTAACCAAAAAAAGGTATTACATAGACAATTGATCGCAATTGATTCAAAGAATAATCAAATAGATGTCCGTAATAATGTTTTAAGTTATTACAAAGATAATGTTAAATGTGATGTTGTTTTGAATAAATTACTAGATATTTTAGATAATAATTTAGGTCCAATATATTTGGAGAAAAGTTCAAAAATTTACTGTAATGAAAAGCCATGGAAAGAAAATAAGATAGTGGAAATGAAATCTGAGGGATTACTTTATGTAATTTATAATGATGACATCACTAAAGAACCACTCTTGTTCATGTCATTCATGATCACCGATGATCCAAGCCTTGTGGTTCCTACTGATAATGATTCAAATGAACTCTCAAATTCTACAGCAGCTGTAATTTACCTTTATGAAATTCAATTATTGGAACTTATAAGAAATCAAAAATTAGGTACAATTTTAATTACAAATTATTTGAAGAAAACTATTGAAATTTTAAACAAAGATTATCAAAAAAATATTATTGCTTTAGAATTAACTGTATTCAGTAATAATATTAATGCTATTAATTTTTATAAAAAAATTGGTATGCTATACACTCCTGATTCCCCAAGAGATAAAATAATTTTACCACAGAAAAGAAGAACAAGAAGCACGACTATTGCATTAGAATCAAAAAATAACGAACCTTCATCACGATTAACAACATCAAAACCTATTAAAAAAATAATTAAAAAGCCAGATTACTACTTATTATTTCTACCAATACCAGAGTCAAACAAAATTCAACTGAATTGTCAATGTAAATAATTCTCTAACAACTGTAACATTTTGATGGAAAAGAGGTGTAATGAATTAATTTGAAACTTGGTGTAAGAGCTAATAAAGAAGAGCCATTTTTGTTTTGTTAGGTTAAGAAAATGACTTTAACAAGGATTGAAAAATCCGGAGGGATGGGTCAACAACCAACACTCGATATAATAGAGAACAAAAACATGAAATTGAAATTACTCCATTTTCAACTGCCTCTTCACAAGATCCAAGATTTCTTAAAATATAACTAATTTCGACACTTTTCTTATAAAGAGTGAAATTAACTCATTTCATTGGAATATGATCGAGCTCCAACTCTAATTGTTGTCTAATGTTACATCCTGAATCAGCATGAAGATACTAGTGCCAAATCGTTAGTTCAACTTAGTGAAAGGGGTGTAATTACCAACTTTCATGTAAATTCTAAGTTACGCTAAACTGCTTAATGTACGGCAAAATAAAAAGAAGAGAAAATCAAATTTAGTTGATGCATGCTGCAGTGAAACATTTTTTCAATTCTTACCAATATATTCTACATGAGCAAGACATATCATATCTGATTGATCAATAACTTAATTGCGTGTTTTTTTAGCTATATCGTTAAGAAAACTTCTAGCAAACCTTGTTATAATAATAGGAAAAATAAAGAGCATACGAGTAATGCACTTTGTCAAATAAAATGATCGAATAGTAATAACTTATGATAGAAAAAAAATACTTTACAAATAGAATTTTAACATATCTAAGTAGTTCGTAATCCAAGTACAATTAAGTAATTGAAGACCATTAGACTCTAAGACCCCTCGTTATCTTTTTATGTTGTACTTATAAAATTTAGTGCTGAATGATATTATCTCAATAGCATCTCTTTAAGTTACAGCTACCTAACAAGAAACATATAAAAATTGTGGGGTTTGTGTAAATGCGCTTTAATGATAGAAGGGGGAAACCTGTTTGGCTCGATTTGGATTGAATACCGTTTACCATTATCGGATGTACCACGAACCACCGCAACAAGTGATTGGATTCGCTTACTTTATCGAGATATTAACAAGTCATATGTTACTATATCGTCACGACGAGTGGATATCAGCAGATATCAAACGGAAATTAACTCTATAAAATATCCATAACATAAATAGTACATTTACTCACTACATGTTGTACAACAGAGAAGCTAGACACTCTCTTTTATTACAGCCTCTATTAAGGTTATATCTATTCATTTCTTGGTATCATATCCTGCAATTTTTGACAAGGTGTTCGTTCCAGTTGAACTGGGCATTAACTACTTGGTGTACAAATAAATATCTTCAGCTAAGAATTAATCACCACTGAATAGAAAACTTGTATGGCCAGAACGGAAATTGATATAAACTTCATCATGATTGTTAGCTCGATGATTTGATTCCATAGCATATTATTGCTATTTGGAATTTTTAATAATAATATTTAATGGTATCTTGTAGTAATCCCTCCTTAAACTAAATAAGCTTGTTTCAAGACCTAACATTAGTTTTACTTGAATTTAAGAATATGGCATGGGAGTGATGACTGAAGAGACAAAATAAAATTGCAAGATCTTGCAATTTTGTTTTGTTTCTTTTTCAAAAGTATGTAAAATTGGCGGTGACGTAGTATAGAATATATTGTTATATTAATGGACACTAGATGAAGAAGCGTCATTATTGCGTCATTGATACTATTTCAGATTAATAAAGCTTAAAAGCATCAACTCAGTGCATGAACGTTCCACTTGTTATCTTTTAAAAGGATAAAATGCAATTACAATTGCTATTGGTATATTACCTTGGTTACCTTTAACACTGGGACCAGATGGGTTCACTTGCTCAATTATCATTGGATCAAATTAACTGTAAAGTCAGGCATGTGTTCTATTGATTTGACTTGAACCTACATTCATTGCTTCTCAATGTTAGTTTATTGACACTTCACTTCTTATTTTGTAACTGACCATAATTGAATTGAATTGCCAGTTTTGCATGGTTATTTATTGTTTGAGTGTTGGGTTACATGGATGATGCTAGCAAAATAAGAGTTTAAGGTTTAAAGAAACATATCATTCTGTAGATTTTGAATAAAAACTAACAAACTAAGAAGATATAAAACAAAACGTGATGTTTGCACAATCATTCAACAATGACATCCTATACAATTGATACCCTTGCAGTTCTGGACATTTACTATTTCCTAATCGAGAATACTAAATAAATACCAAGTATTTTAATAACAACTAGTTTGGTTATGTATGAAATGCAATTTGTTAAATATTACTGGATGATAAATATTAAATCTATAAGGGCCAGCCAATAATTGAATTTAATACATCGATTTCATCACTTTTTTTACTCATGTGAAAATACAAACAAGTTTTATAAAATTTTAAAACAGTTTAACTACTACTGATCGTTCATCACAACGATTAATTACAATACCAAAATGTAGATATTATTCTTTATACTCTTACTAAACCCCAATAATAAAAACCTAAAATAGGTAATATTAATTGGATAAAATAAACGCATTACGAATCTCACTGACAAACATGATGATGAATTTCCAACAATTTAAATAATTTATTGTGAGTGTAACTTCGTTGCTAATTCATCTGTAATTGTGATGAAAACAAGCTCCTTTTCCATTTCTTAAGGTGTTTATTGCTTGAACAGGTTTTCAAGAAAGGCCCAATTGTGTCTATTCAAGTTGTTTTAAACCATCCATATGCCAATATCTGCAAGTTTGATTAGTACGATGAAATTTTATCACGCATATAAGCTACTGACTGAATGTTAGAGATAGATTTTTAGTGTGATCGAAATCGGTTGAACAGTGTAATTGATTCAACTAACCAACATCAATCAGCAGCTTCGTCAATAACTGTAGAATTAATTACAGCAGTAATTAATTATATTTTAATCAACTAATATTTTGCTTCGAGAATTCATAAAGAGCTTATGTAACAAACTAAGTACGTGTATTTTTAGAAGTTTGAATGGTATGGTATTTACTAGAAAGGCTATGAATAGTTAGAAGAAAAATATTATAAATCAAATTTGTTAACGTGTCTAGTTTAGAAAAAGCTTCTAGAATAGATGAATTGAATAGTATGGTGCAGTAAGTTGCTCTTTCAATTCAGTAAGTAAAAAATTTAAGTTATTCTTTAATGATATTACAATAATGAACTGTCTAGTGGGCTGTTTGTTCTCAGAAAGAAAGAAGCCATTACTCAATCAATTTTTACAGTAAGTTTTTAATATGTTAGCTATATGATGAAATATAGAACCAACGTAACAAAAAAAATGAAAAAAAAACAACAACAACAACAACAACAACAACAACAACAACAACAACTGTATAATAGTGCAGATAAATTTAACTGTAGATACATTTTACTGTAGCAAATCTCTTGAACCATAATCAGAAACTTCTCTTAGAGTTCGAATTCCTTTTTAATGAATATGAAACAAGGTTATTCGATCTTTCCCACAACAAGATACATAGATATTCAAGTATCTAAATGCAAAAAATTTTCTAATGTAAAGAAGGTTTAGTACAAATTGTAAAACTTAAATTTCTGACATGACTGCTGAAGCTAAATAAGGTCTGTTAGGTTTAATATGTAAATAATCTAAGAACTTCAGTAACATTTAAAGAATCCTCTGATTCTTATAGATTGCTAATTTTTCCAGTGTGGCTCAGAGAAAACACAAATGAAGTAGGATGAATTGACGTATTTTCTAGAAATACTGTGATGATGTGTACGCTTACCAACTCGCTTATAACATTGAAATAATTCCATGTACTTGTCATTATGTAGTACTATTGTTCATTTTGATAGGAAAAAAACTTTTTTTTCCTTTCTTGCTTACTGAGAAGCTCCTAAGAATCTGATCTTGTTCTTAGTTACTTTTAAATTGTATGCATGCAACAAACTCTCCAAGGTTTCATCCGGAATCCTCATCCATCATTAGTTCTTCTTCTCCGTTAACAAAGAAGCACTTTATTGCTGTTAAATTGTCGTCAAAAAAACCTTTGTTAAGGTAGAGATTCGACAACAAATATCGCTATTAGACATATCTACAGTACAGTAAAAGTAATTCCACTTTACTTAGCTTCCAAGGTTATCTAGAGAAACATGTTACCATTAATTAGTACTAGTAGTTGTTGCTGCCGATTTCTATGTATTTTTTGGGCTTTTATCTATGTTCTCTCTTTCTTTCTCTGTCTGTACCTTCCTTGTCTTGAATTTGACAACTTGTGAAGATGTCATTGGCATCCTATATCAACACAGTCAGTAGGTTTGTAATAGCAAGAAGTAGTGAGGGTGGATATGATGAGATCGTTGTTCTCAACAGATTTATTTGAAATATTGTTACATTTAATTTCCTTGACAAGCTCATCCATACAGATGATAAAGTAGAATAGTTCTTGCTGAGGTAGGTGTGTTTGATAGTGCCAATTAAAGAAGAACTATAGAATTTTAAATAAAGATAGAAATCTTTGTTACTTCTTTTATCCTAGCTTTCTGTATCTCCTTCCATCTCTTTTAGCAACTAATGTAGCTCTGCCTAGCCTTGATTCATCTCAGCTAATTGGAAAAAGAACCTTGAATAATATTTCTGTAGAGATGGTGGGTGGATAGAATCATCCGTTGTTGTAACAGTGGATGTGTAAAATTAATGATGCAGTCCTTGCAGCCGTTAAAGAATGTGTTGTACCAAATATTGCTGTTAAGTTAAAATATATAGATAGAGAAGTTAGGAATATATCAGAAGATAGGTAGATGTGTCTTATTTCTTTTACTGTACGCTGTATCTCTATTAATTCATCAAAGTTAACTGGTTAACAGTGTTCTAAGAACTCTCTTGTATTTTAGGAACTGTAGTCTAAATGGAGTGGTGTTGAATTAGTAGCAAAAGATAAAATAATATAAATCGGATTGCTTATTTGATTTATAAGAATAATTTCTTCGTAGA